GGATGTGAAGGATAAGCTTCTCCGCAAGTAGACCACCAGGAAGGTAAATCGGCCGATATCCTTTAATTCTGCCTTCACACCTGAGAACTCCTGTACAGTTATCTTTGACCAACTTCCATCCTGGGGACTTCAGACATGTTTCCTCTGCTTTCTGAACTCGCTTTACCCAGTAGTCACTTGCAGCTGTGATTTCTTCCGTAACTAATGGGCCTGACATCTTCTTTGACTTGCTTCTCGCTTTGCAGTTTCTGATAAAACGTAACACCCATGCTGTTACTCTCATTGTACGCCAGTAGGTGCTTCTTTCTAACAAGGCATCCCACTCATCGAACACGAGCTCTTGTGTGCGGAGAACTGCTTCTTGGGTGACCTTACTCTCTTCATCTGTTTCTTTGGTGCTATTCAGCCTTGGCTGCTCCGGCCACCACCTTTTGTCCAAGAGCCAATCCAGACCGGCAAACCAGTTTCCTCTCTCCATCTTCACAATGGTTGCCCCTCTACTTCCGAGATCTGCTAGATTCAACTCTGATGGGCAATACTTCCAAGTGATGTTCATTGGACCAGCGGTTTCTGCTATCTTCTTTACTCTGTTTGATACAAACACCTTCCATCCTCTCCCAGGATTGGTTATCCAATATAGTGCTACCATACTGTCCATCCGAATGTTGATGGTTTGAATGGGCCATTGCTGGAGAGCAGTGCTGAGGTTCTTCGCCATGTTTACTGCCATGTGGCCACTCACGAGCTCCAGTCTTGCTATTGATGTACTTCTCTTTGATATCCGCGACTTTGAGGTCAGAAGTCCTTTGGTCACCCCTGCCTCATGTTCTACCACCACAATAGCAGCTGCACAACATGCTAGAATGCTGGCATCTGCGAAAATATGTAAATGGACTGCTCCTATCTCTCTGACAAATGAAGCAATACTTCTAGGCACCCTTACATCTTTAAGTTGCTTCGTCCACCTTAACCATTGGTTCTTCAATCTGGGGGAAACTTGTGCATTCCAACCTTTCTTCTCATCGCAGGCTTCTCGATAAATATGCTTTCCCTCAGCCATGGTGGGCGAGATTATTCCGAGTGGGTCATAGACAGTTCCTAGGTAACTGAGTATAGTGCGCTTGGTCACTGGATGTTCTTGTGGAAAAGGCTTTGCAAGCAGCTCCAATGTGTCATCATCCTTATTCCACACATGTCCGAGGATCTTGCTTGGATTTGGCATGCCTTCACTTTCAAGAAACTTGACATTAGATTCCCACTTGTGCACCGGAAACCTGGCAGACTCAAGTATGGCAGTACTCTCTTCTTTGAACTGCATGAGTTTCTCTACATTTCCTCCCGTTTGCATGAGATTGTCAACATAAGTGTTCTCCTTAAGTGCTCTCACTGTCTCTTCAAATTCTGACCCTTGTTGTTCAAAGTGATGCTGCAGAGTGGCTCCCAGTAGGAAAGGGTTTGCTTCAACTCCGAAAGGTACACGTGTAAATCTTAAATGTTTCTCTGTTCCTTTAATGTTGAACAAGAATCTGACTGCATCTCTATCCTCCTCCTCCTTCACACCTATCTGGAGAAACGCCTTTTCTATGTCTCCAAGGAGCAGACTTGTGGACATTCGCACTCTAATCATTATGTCCCAAAGGAGCGGCTGCAACGGAGGACCAGTGAACATGCAATCATTGATACTGTAGGTCAAAGGCTGGGGCTTAGCACTTGCGTCAAACACCATGCGAACCTTATTCGTAACTGCACTCTGCTTTACAATTGGCTTGAGAGGCATGTAGAAAACACGTTTTCCAGATGGAATCTGAGGTGCTTCCTCGATTACCTCTGCTCTGAGTTGCTCTTCAATTATGCCACCATACTCTCCTTTCAGTTTCTTATCTCTTGAAAGCTTTCACTCCACGTTTTCAAGCCGCTTCCTGCTAAGTGCTTCATTTGTGTTCGTTAATGTAGCTCCCGGTATCCAAGGAAAACCAACCTCATACCCTCCATCTTGCTTTCTGACAACACTCTCTTTAAAGTCACGCAGAACATCCAGCTGATCATTCTCTCCCCGGTCCTCGACTCCCAGTACATCCAAACTGTACAGTTTTTCATAGTCATTAACCTCTCTCATGTACATGCAGCTGCTCCCACTCCCATATTCGTCTCCCCCATGGACCACCCAACCGAACGTTGTCTCCTCTACCAGCGGCTCTCCCGGGTGCCCTTTGAATACTCTCTCCGTCCTTATTCTGCTATAAACACCGTCTCCGAGAATGAGGTGTATCTGATGTTCTCCTGTGGACGTCATGTAGAACCGCTTGTCTTGTGTATGTGAGTACTTAACTTCAGCTGATTCATGTCTGGCCTTCTCACAGTAGTAAAATCAGCTAACTTCGATCCCGTGAATTCCACCTCTTCGCATGATTTTCCGTCCAGGGACTTAATATGGGTGTCAAAGATTAGCATTGTCTGGACTTTGGTTCCATTGACTGTCAAGATTTCGCGAGTTTCGTGACGTGTCGGTTTCAACTTTACTAACTTGACTGCTTCACGTGAAATGAAGTTGCGTCCAGATCCTGTATCTAGGTAGGCCCAAAGCACTTGCCCCCCAATACTGACGGGAATAATCGCAGGTAGCACTTTCTCCTCTGCATAATTGGAGTAGACCGTCAATGACACTCCATCTGGATTACTGCTTTCCCTCTCCGGTCTATCGCATATGCTTCTATGGTGTTTGTGTTTACACTTGGCGTAGCCACGCCTACGGCACTGGTCTGCTCTGTGGTTTTGCCTTCCACAATTAAAGCATAAATTGTGATCTATGAAGAACTTCTTCCTGTCCACTAATGCTGTTACTAGGGTACAGTCCTCACTCCAGTGCTCTTGTTTTCGGCAGAAAAGGCAATAGGGTTTCAGCTTATCTCCTTGCTTCTGTGAGAACAGATGTTTTTCGCATTTGCTGCTTTCGACGTGATTTCTCCTAAGCCACTTCTGCATAGCATCAATCAGGTCTTCCATGGACCATTCCTCCCAACTGTCATCCACTCTCACCAGATCGGGCTTTACGTGAGGTAACTTGTTGAGCGTAGTCATAACAAACCCTTGCAACTTTTGGCCTTCTTCGAGGGTTTGAAGCACGTCATAGTTCCTACTCAGTTTCTCGTAGAATTCTTGCACCTTGAAATAATTGGAGCCTTTGACTGGGAATAAATTGAGGATTTCTTCCATGTGCGCATTCATGACGACCTTTGTTTGCCCATATTCTTTCTTTAGTCGATCCCACGCTGTCTTGTAACCAACAGTTCCAGGCTTTAAATTTGCAATTCTGTCTCTCACCTTCGGGCTAACGGATTCTAGAAGGTACCCGAATTTCTCTTCGTCGGAAATCGACTTCGCATCAACTTGCGTCAGGAACATGTTTTCAAATCTTATCCAGTCGCCGGCGGTACCCTTGAACGGTGTTATCTTTAATTTCGGTAACTTTGTGGTGCTGGAAACAGCTGTTTTCTCCATTTCTAATTTCTTTTCTGCCACAAGTAATTCAGCTTCAAGCTTTTCCTTCCACAACTCACGCTCGTGTTCCTGTTGCTTTTCACGTAACACGTACAATCGCCGCTCATCTTCCAACTGTTGCTCCCGCTTCAAATCTTCTTTTTGTCGCGTAATTTCTTCCTCTCTATCATCTAAACACTTTCTAAGCCTCTCGTTTTCGCTAACAGATGCTGCATACTTTGATTTAATGTCTTTTCTCCACTGTCTCACCGTCCGAGGCGACAATCCTCGCTCAATTTTTAATTCTTCTGTCTGTGAAATAAGATCCGATAGCTTTGTAATGATTTTCACAGCTCGTTTGTTGACTATTTCCATCTCCGAATAATCCTGAATTTTGATCAGTTCATCTATCTCCTCCATGAAGTACTTGACTTTCTCAATTTCCTTGTCGATCTCTTTTATGAGACGTTGTTCTTCGTCGCTCGGTTCTTCGCTGTCGCTCATGTTTGTTTTGACTCCGAGAAAGGATCACTTCGCTTCTCAAACTGTCTCGCTAGCGTTGTGTATTTCTTCCTCGCATCCTGGTCTCGGCACCAAAAATGAGCTGAACAATAACACAGCCCATAGAACTCACAATAACACGGTTTCCTGGTTTATTCCACTTCAATCCGACTCACAAACTCTCACGAAACTCGATAAAAAAACCTCAAAGGAAAGCCCGCGCTCACAATATTTTTACGACTTGTCCCGTTCTAGCTTACTCAGCACGCACGTGCTCATTACCTTATTTGGTAGCCCTAGCCCTAATTTGGTAGTGCTGCTCAACGTCACAAAACTGTGAGGGGTAGGGTTGGTAAAACTCTCGTACATCTTCAACTCAAGAATTTTAAGTTTCGTGGAAATCGCTCTATTTTCATGCGAAGAGAAGGACAATTTGCAAAACATTATAGTTAGAAAATTTGCTCGTATCGCCAAATTAAAACTTCAAATTAAATTTCAGTCATTCAGTTGAAAGCGAGAATGATTGAACTTATTCATATCCAGAATCGAGAATCATCCTGCCACTTCTGGCGCGACGCAAGCACGTTAGAAAAATACTGAAATTGGCTCATAATTAAGTTGGAGTCACCTTTAACGTACCCAAAAGGAAGTTAATTTCCAAATTAGGTCATCACAAAGGTTTTGGGTAGCTCTCTTAGCCTCATATCACCTTCTACTTAATAATTCACACTTAATTTTCCATTTCTTCACTGTTCCTTGCCTACGGCAGCATTTCTACCCTTTAGGTTTACTAGTTTATTTAAAACCCTTAACATCTCCTCTTGAATCAGTTTTTGTTCTTCGTGATAAAAAGAAAAACTACATCAGAAAACCAGTCGTATCACATAACTTACATTAGTGAATCATATAATTATTCAAAATTAGCAAGAAAACAGAGGCCTTTATGTTTTCTTGGTATTTGTTAAAAAATATCACTTATGTGAACTGGAGGTAAGCTTCTTTGCCATTTCTAACCTCTTCAAATAGGTTCTACACAACCCCTGAAGACGCTGAAGCTGTCTGTTTATGCAGCAGCAAAATTTGGTGCCAAGCAGTTTCTCAAAACAGTATTTGAGTCAAAGGCTGGAAGAAAAGTTTTTAATGCTTACAAGGACCACCCGCCCTTACCTGAAGTTATTGCCTGGAAATATGGTCATGAGGAGACTGCAAATTACCTTGAAGACATAACTATAAGGTACCCCCTATTCATATGATTTGATAGACTTACAAGTAGATGATGCCCGGGTTAAACATCTGGCTGTTGACGTGATTTTCCTGACTGACGAAGTCCGGTCAGAAATGGTTACTGTTTTAGCGTTCATGTTCTCAAAGAAATGTCAGTTGTTTCTGACCGTTTATACAACTACAGCTGTATTATCAGTTTATCTGAAATTAAAAGGGTCGTCAAAACTTTATTTCGAACAAGTTAAGAGCCGTTTTTAGTAACTGTCGAGAATCCTGCGCCAGACCAAAAAAAATTTTTTTTTATTCTCCAAAAAAACCCCTTTTGGTCAACTGTTTTCAAAAACAATATTCAAAAGTTCCAGTGAAGCTTCGTTTTGGCGAACAGTAGAAAAGTTTAAAATCGGACTAAACCTGGTCGAAGGCCCGATGGAAATTTTGCAAATTTGGGCATTTTTAAAATGCACGTACGAAAAAACGAAAGTTGATCTATAGTTTATTGCAGGGTTTGTTACACATTTCTCAACGTTACTTTCAAGCTATATTTTATCTTGATCTAGGCTTTCTTTCTATTTCTTACACCCATGCAAAGAAAGTAATGTTTCGTGCTTTGTTCACACCATGAATTTTACCATATTTTAGAGGGTTATAGCATCAAGGGTATTTAAATTTAGCGGCTGTGAAAGGGTTCTTATAAAATAACTGTTCTTCCTTTTTGTCATACTAAAAGCTTTTTTTGGCCCGCCAAAAGCAAGCACGCTAGATTAAAGTGTATACGAGTGATTTGATGGGTTTCTCCATTTTACTTCCTTTTGTTCACTGTTGTCTTACTGGGTTGATTCACAATTTTTCACTCAGGAAAACTTAGTGTTTGGTTTCCATTGCGACATCTTATTCGAATTAAGACTGCAGAAACCCTCAACAAGAAAATAAGTTTGAATACACTTACTGAGACAAACATTGGAAGGTTAATTCCCTCGTAATCTCTATAATCACCAATTGTAAACAAAGACTAGCGGTACGATACAGATCCGAAATCTTTCGGTGACCTGAGCATTGCTCAAAGTCCTCGAATTTTCGGTAAAGACCTCTCCAGTACCTGTTTGCATTAATCCAGCATAAGTGACAAAACTCCTTATGGAAAGAGCATGCATCTGACGTGAAAATATTACCAGTGACAGGTACATGGAGATCATGTTGCGTGACAAAGGAAATATGAGACGGGGGAAAAAGTACGCATGTTTCCACTGTTTGTCCGGCCGACCACATTCTCGTCCCCAGAGCCACTCGGCTTAATTTGTAACGACCACGTGACCAAGAAACGACGGTCTCTGGGGACGAGAATGGGCCGACTATTTCTGATGTGGCTTGGGAAGGCGGGGGGAGGGTGGGTGTGGTGAGGGGCTGGTTGATGTTGAAAAAAATACATATTTCCTGGAAGTGCATATAGGTAAGAAAAGAATCCTGCACAAGTCCACTGTCCAAAAGAAATTCACACATGTACAGTGGGCTGATTAAAAAACCTGCCCGAGATGCTCCCTGGGTTGACAGCTTGAACTTTATTTCCGCATAAAGAGATTTTGTATTTGCACTTGTGTACCGGGTAAGAGGGATTCAGAGCATAACGATCTTTCCCTCTCAAATGGCTTTTTCTTTAAATTCACAACATCTGTGGTAACCAATCTTGGTCAGGGACTGCGAAGCCTTAGGCTGAGTGGGCTATAGCCCCACCAATAATTTCATCGTTTTTTTTTTTGCATATTTTTATGACAGTCTTTTAATCTTTATCTTAAAAGCAAACACAATTTCCTTTGTTATATGTACGTTTTTGTGCAGAAAACTAGCTGGTGATAAATATTGGACAAAATCAGTTTCAGAATAATTTGGTAGAAATTAACCCAGTGATTCTAACTTTAACCATTTTCCGTGGAAGCATGTCTCCAGACCCCTCTAGATAAAATATCGTTTATAGTCGCCTTCGTATTATCAAAATCAGTCAAAAACTCTAAGATAAAAATTGATATGCTTGTTCAAAGATTGTTTAGATTCATAAAGGAAACCCTACTTTTTTTACCCCATCCACAAAAATCATGCAAAGTGTTGGAGGGAGAAAAAAATATCATTCGAGCACATACCCCAATAAAAAATTATGGTGAATGAAGGTGTTGAAAAAAATTATGCCTACACCAAATCACCCAACCACCACCCCGCCTAGGAAGTAAAATGGTTGGCCCCTATAACATTCAGGTTCTAAAGGTATGTCAAGGGACCGACCATTGGAAAAGTTTGTTGGTTGGTTGGTTCAGGGGGAGGAGGGGGACGTCTGCGGTAGGGAAAATGCATAGAAGTTCTAGCAAAGGAAAATTTCGCTCGACGAGCAGTCTGAGAAAAACCTGCCTCGACTTTCCAAAGTATTTCCGGTTACCGGAGCTCATGCATCTACTAAGATCCTGAACACCCTGAAACACATAAAAAAATCAAATTGATCATACAAAACGAAAGAACATCTAACAAATTGGGGTGACTAGGTTTCCGTATGTCTTTTTTCTGTTCAATTTACCCGTGTATTTCCAGGTTTTCCGGGGTTCTCCGGATTTTGGAACGTACCGATCACAACCTAGTATCGCTGCCGTCTATTATAAATGCGAGGGCTCCTGCTCCGGAGAGTTTCACTGCAAAATTTGAGAAAGACAGAACTGAACAAAGACTGCTATTCCTCCTGAGAAGAGTAACAGCTTTATTACAATGAAAATTCTCATGAACCTGACAACTTTATTTTATACCCAGAATGTTAAAAAATTAATTGCATTTCTGAGATCTAGATGTTGCAAATTATCTGGGAAGCATGCGCCCAGACTCCTAGATTGAAGGGGAACTTGTGAAACCCCTTTTTTACCACCCCCTATGTAACAAAACTGAACTGTAGTAAGCCGTCGCTCACTAGAAAAATTAACGCAATCTCTTTGTCTTATCATTTAAAATAATTTGCATGTTAAAAAAAGAATCTAGGTCAGTATTCGATTTGTACTTCTTTTCTTACTTGAGCGTACTTATGGAAAAATACTGGCTACGCACATGGAAAGCTTTTTTTGATGCTGTGGACGCCGGATGGCCAATGAAAGGGCGGGAAAAGCCTTCTGTTCCTATTGTTTCAGTCTTATAGGACTCGAACGTAGAAGATGAGTCAAATCGGTAGCTCCTAACCCAGAGCGAGCTAACCATAGGGTAAGAAAGCACAGCTCGTATTTGGCCGTCTTTTTAGGATGGTTCGGGGTACTTCTTCCAAACAAGTGTATTGCATTTCAATTTCATGATAATTGTCACGCAACATCGCGTCTCTCGTTGCACAGGAAAGTTTTTTTAACTCATCGCATGAATGCATTGTGGTTATAATTGAATCGCTTTAAAGTTTTGGTTTGCAAACAAGTACTTTTCTCTTGAATTTAGTGAAGATGTGATAAGATCGTAATCAGAGCTTATCTGCTAAGGGCAACTGCCCACCGGTGTGAACGTCTTTTTGTCCAGTCAAGTTTCAGTGACTACTAAATTTTGCCAAAAGTATTCCGCAAATGTTTTGTGACAAGCTGAATGCAAAAGCAAGCTAATTTTAATTCCATAATGTGAAAAAGGTAGCAAGGAAAGCAAAAACATCGAGCACTCATATAGTTGCGGCCATTTGACATTCTGGATATTTTTACGTTAAAGAACGATACCTGATTGTCAGATGTTTATTTTTACCTTACTATCTGATGTTTTGGGTGGTTTGGAAGCAGAATGTGGGCATGAGCAGCACCCACAGTAGGCAGTACAGGAGCCGAAAATTTTCACCACTCATTGTTGACATAAATTTTTCACGCCTTATGTAGAATTTACCAGAACACTTCACCAGGACACCAAAACAGTATGTATTAAAGATGGGCTGCTTTGTAAAATGTTCCTTAGGTAAAATCTATCAATTTCAATGAACAAAAAGTGGACAACAACAGCAAGGTTCTTGATGAGGAGAATGTGTTGCTATCAGTGTTAGTGGACTAAGTTAAGAACGCGAAAATCGTAAAAGTGCACTTGACACATTTTAGTGTAGTGTGCTCGCTTTTGGCGGGCCAAAAACGTTTTTAGTATGACATACAAGAAGAATGTTCCTTTCAAAAGACAACATTCATAACCACAAGATGTGTATACCCTTGATGCTTTAACCTTCGAAATCATGGTAAAATTCATGTTGTCAACAAAGCACGAAACATTACTTTCTTTGCATAGGTGTAAGAAATAGAAAGAAAGCCTAGATCAAGATAAAATATAGCCTGAAAGTAACTTTGAGAAATGTGTAACAAACCTTGTAAAGATGAACTATAGAGTAGCTTTCGTTTTTTCATACGAGCGTTTTGAAAATGCCTTAATTTGCATAATTTCCAGAGGGCCTTCGACTTTCCTATTTTTCGCAAAGACGAAGCTTCGCTTGAACTTTTGAATATTGTTTTTGACAATAGTTTACCAAAAGGTTTTTTTGGGGGTGAAATAAAAAAATACAAATTTTTTTATCTGGCGCCGGGTTCTCGATAGTTTCTGACAACAGCTCTTAAAGTTGGGATCGGCGGAAAGGGAGGCTCGACAGCGGGAGGAGATCAGACATATCTTGCAAATTCAGAGCACTTGCTGCAATAATCTTTTTCTTCCTGTGATCTTTGTCCGTGCACACATGCACGTCTTGGTGCGTGCTTAAAGTTTCAATTAACAAGATGCTCTGAAAGCGTTCATTTGGGCGGAATACTTGTCAAAGGCGGAAAAATTAAAAGTAAACGAATAAGAATGTCAGAAAGTACGCGAGATTAAGGCTAAGAAGTTCTGTGCAAGGAACAGGCTGAAGAATGGCATGCTCAATTCATTACTACAGGTTTCCATTAATGTTTCAGCTGTTGCATCACAAGAAGTCAAAGCAGTAGTGAAGATAGCCCGCTGCCGTAAAGTGAACTTTGCTAATTGTGAACACTACCTGTCAAACTTAACGAAACATACTCTGCGAAACCACGAGTTAAAAATGTTGTTACATGCGTGACCTTTCAAATATCACATTCATTTCCAGTTTGAATGCGAAGACAAATCGTCGATTCGTCCAAATACACGCAAACCACAGTATATACGATTTTAAAAACTGTAATATATGAATTGTAAATAGATTTTGAATCTTATTTATTTCATGCTTGTGATCTGTTATTTTTTTTCTTTTTGGGGGGCAAAAATGGACACAATTTGTCCAAATAACAATTATCCACGCTCAATTATTTCAACTTCGTTTTAGAAAATTCGGTGGCCATTTTCCGCAGTTGATACTGTCTTGCTCTTTCCTTTATTAACTTTCCTATTTAGGAAAACCCATCTTCTGCTCATGTACTCCATGTTATCGGGCAAAAATGTAAGCCTCTTTAGTACTCGTTAGAATCTGCCAAACATATGCGCATAGGGCACTTGGAACAAAAGCAATACTTGCAGGGGAGGTCGGAGTAAATTTAGTCCAAGTTTAATGAATTAATTCATGAGAATCGAGTAAGTGAGTGATCGTTTGCCGTTCGACTGCCTCCAATAGACTAGGGAATGACTACATCGTCCATGAGCTAAAAAGCCCAAAGGCTTCAGGGGCCTCCTATCTCGACCTCTGCAGACACAACCTCAACAATGTATCAGCAAACAAGAGGCTCTAAGTAGCCTATACTCATGTAGCCTCCCACGCAGACGTTCTTAGGGGTTCGTCACACGTTCCTGCCCCACGAACGTCTGCTGAACCAAAAGATAAATTCCTTTCCCATTGTTCGCAAATATCGGCTGGATATCAAATGCAGATTATCGGAGATCCTATCGGCGCTGTTGAAGTCAAAGTGTTGACAAATCAAACACATGCGTACAAGGTCTGTAGAGTGTGATACATGATCGAAGAATCTAGGAGATGAGCGTTGGCTACTTCTATATTTCTTTCTGTAAAGGCTGGATTAGACATCATTTGCGCATAAAGTTGTTCTTTGGGTGATGCAACAGCGGGCTTACTTTGTAGGACTAAACAAAAGGCAGAACTTTTTTCACACGTTATTATTTTGCAGTAAAGCCAACTTCCATTGGAAAATTTAGCCTCCGAGGTAATGTTTTCCAATGAGATTGTGAGGGTAGCCTATAGCACGAACGCTTGTGAGTTAACTGAGTAGTTTGTTCTAAAACTGTAAGTTCTTCACCTTTCATGAGACCTTTCTGATCTTTACTGGAGCTAAGTCAAGCGCGAAATTTCTCAAAGTGGACTTCCCAGATCTGGAAGTCTGCTGTGATTGGTCTACATTTTTTCCGCTCAAGTCAGCAGACGTTTGTGGGACAGGAACGCGTGACGAACCCCTAAGAACGTCTGCGTAGGGGGCTAATACTCATGCGCATCCTAGAAATTCCTTTGCCACCAATAACATGACAGACTGCAGACCAATGCATGCCAACAACTAGCCTGTATTATTGGATTGTAAACTATTTCCCATTTTCACTTCCTTGCACGCCTTACTGACAGTGACAGTAGTTCTAAGAACAGCTCAGATTGCTTAAAGTAGTTTCGGTTTTGAAAGTTGCTTCAAGCAGTTCAAGGTTCTCAAAGGTCACTAGGAGATGACGGGCTTGTTGATCGAGATCAGTTTCCCTGACCTTTTGTTTGTTTGTCTGCCCTTTCTGTCGATCCCGCTCTCGTGCAATGTGTTTGTTTGTAAAACAAATTGGATATAATATATTTGTCGTTAAATGTCAACAACTGACCTTTGGCTCCACAACAGAAAGAGATTTCTTCTGATAGCAACCGCAACGTTTTGACAGATCAACATTCGACACCTGCAGTCAAGAAGCGATGATTAGGGAACGGCCATGCACATCTTAAGGGGCTTGAAACGTGGGGCGCATGGTTGATTTCTTCAAACAAGCACTGATTTTGTTTTTATACAAAATAGACTGATATTCCATGCATATATACATTTTAAGGCTCTAATACTTCTTTGCAAATCTTTCCATGAAACTTTCTGACACAACAATACATTTTTCAGCAGCTATAAATGTTTTGGAATAATCCCCTAAATGTATGCAAGAAAAAATTTACATCCAGTAATGTGACACCAAAAATGAAAAAACTGAGAAGAAACGGAGGACATTTTACACCTCATGCGCTTAGTTGCACATTAGTAAAAGCATTTAAGGTACTGACAACAATAAACCGTTTACTTGCAAAAAGTATTACATCAACGATTTCTATAATTAAAAACAAATTATTCGTCCTGAACTATATCGTATAGAATACAGTTTGATATAAGCACCATAGAACAAGTTAACATATGGTTTTGCAAACGAACACTTAACGTCCCCTGGTACACAGATAAAATATAACTTGTAGAGCAGAGCAAGGAAGGTTTCCACTTTGCCTTGATATATAAAATGCAATTTTCAGTTACTGGCAGAGACTGCAGCATAACACTGTCAACCCTTTGTTGCCTGAGACATTTCAACGTGCATCAAAGTTCAATAGTAATTTTTATGTGATAAAAAATCAGGATATGATAACACATCAAGACTGCACGCTACAAATTTAAAGCAGCAGGTCTAAGAAAGGGTATACCCAAAGTTGGCTTGATGTCCAAAATATTGTTTCCTTGAGTTAAGGACATAAGATAACTCTTAAAGAAGTTTAAAACTATATCAATTCAAATTATCTCAAAGAATTGAAAAACCCAGTCCACAAGATAAGCCTCACAAAACTGAGATTAGAGGCCCATACACGAAGAATACAAACTGGGAGGTATGAAGACTATGAAAACTTCGGCGTAGCAATATCTGTAGGAGAAAGAACGTGCTTGGTTTGCAAACAAAACCAGATCAAAGATGAACAGCACTTCTTGATGTTTTGCAATCGGTACAATTCATTGCGACAAGAGTTATTCACTTGTATTTTATTAAAGGGTGTCTCTTTTGTGAATCTTAACGCCCATGACAAAATAAAATATTTGTTAACAGGAGAAAATAATACTTGTAAAATTATAGGCAAATCTATTAATCTTATGTTCAAAAAGAGAAAAGAATTACCGAAAGTGTAATTTGATGGAAAATGTTCTGATTATTTTTATTTTGCGTGTATCATTACAGCCATTACTGTTACTTTATTGCAATCGACCTATATCGTAAAAAGACTGATACGTCCTTATGGAGAGTAAGGCACAATAAAGATCTACTGTTACTGTTACTGTAACCCTTTGTTAGTGGACCAAGGTACCCAGTGTGATTCCTCAGCTGTCTCGTTGAACTATGCACTGTTATGTGGAACAATCTGTTGTGATGAAGGTGCAGCCAATCTTCAGGATGATCTATATGGATTAGAAGCTTGGCAACAAAAGTGGAAGATGGAATTTAATCCTTCAAAGTGTAAGATCGTGTGCTTTACAACCAAGAGAGATCCACCAAAGCGGAGATACGTATTCTAGAAGGTGTGGAATCTCACCCTTATCTGGGAGTAGTGCTTGATAAGAAAATGAGGTGGTCCCCACATATCAAAGTAATCACGTCTATGGCAAATAATGTCTTAGGACTTATCAAACGCAATCTGTGGAACTTTCTAAAGACAGTAAAAGAAACCTTGTACATGACACTTGTGAGATCAAAGCTCCAGTATGCCTGCAGTTCATGAGACCCGCACTACCAGAAAGATAAGGCTGCTCTAGAAAGGGTACAGCAAAAAGCGGCTTGCTTTGTCACAGGAACGTACTACTGCTGCAAGATTTAAAGTGGGACACACTCGAAATGATGAGAAGATACGCAAGGCTGTCTGTTGTGATAAGATGTGCTATGGTTTCCCAGATGGGAAATGGGAGGACTATTTGATTCCAAATAGAGAAAGAAGAAAACGAGGAAGCCATGATTTTAAATTTATAGTACCGAAATGGACACAATGATATTTTCAGACTTTCTTTCTTTCACAGGACAATAACTGAATGGACCAAACTCCCGAAAGAAACAGTTACCAGTCAATCTCTCTATTTTTAAAAGTAAATTCCTTTAGGTTATCTTCTACTATCAGTCCATATTAGTTTTTATTTGTAGTTTTATTATCATATTGTGTATTTAGTTGGCGTGATGTCCCTCGTGGATGTTGCCGACAAAACCATATTTAGATTTTAGATTTAGAAATGAGGAACCCATGAAGTTTATGGAATAACAATTGTAGCAACAGCAAAGAAGGCCTTCTTCTTACCTGACAACAGTTCAGAGTTAGACAGTAACAGTGCTAGGAACAGCGTGAGGGAAACCCGAAGACAACTAAGAGCCTTAGCATGCCTTTCAAACAGGTCTATTATTGTTAATGTATTATCAACCCAAGCTAGAGTTTAAAGGCAGCAAATCTACTTTTCCTTTTCGCAATGTCAGGTGCGGTAATACAGTTCTTTGTACGAGCATTAATTTGAGAAGGAAGACATGCGCCTCTTTTAGATCAACTAGTACAGGTAGTATAATTCACTGTAATAGTACTTTTGAATTGGACACAATCAGGTGACATATCCGGATGATGATCACGTGCAGATAATCAGTGATGTAATGACTACACTCCTCCTTCGTCAAATCAGTTCATATTGTAGATTAAAACGTCATTTCAGTCTTGTTTCAAACTGTCATTTGCAATTGTGATCAAGTTCCTTATTCAAATCGAGAACGAACAATGAAGATGTATTTTCAGATGTAATAGCTGGTCATAGTTTATTGTTCACTTTGTCCAGCCCTTCAAGTGTCCATCAAAAGTGGATTGAGTCTGACGTGTGGATCTCTTTGGTTGTGTTTTGGCACTGGAAGGTCTATTTGGTAATGCATTGACTGCCCTGGAGTGTTTTGGTTTGCTGTGGTTGGCTAGTAAATGCCTGAAAGTGGGATGATTGGCCTGTTTGTGAGAGGTGCCTTGCTTTGCTGCAGGATAGCTATGTAAGCATATGGCTCAAAAAGAGTTTGTCCCTCCACTTCTCTCTTTTGAGGAGTACTGCATCATGGACTTTGTTGTTGTGTTATTTGGTGCTATATTTGGGATCATGGTAATTCTGGAATTTCTGTTTGTACTTGGTATCTTTGTTCATCATAGTGTTCTCCTCGTTACTTGTTTCGGTTTGGTAGTGATCCAGTTTAAGACGAAAGCTTTTGTTCACTGTCAGCTCGCACGGTGCAGTTCTTGTTGATGGGTGTGGGGTCTCCTGGTTGGCTTAGAACATGATATACATGGCTTCATGGAAATTGGTCCCTTCTTCATAAGCTATAGCTGCTGTTTTCGATGTGATTATTATTATTATAGAACACTCTACGAAGTATGGGCCAAACAGACAGTTTTCATCCGTAATGTGAGTGATATAAAGAACCACGGAGCTGCCCCTTGTAGTCAAAATGTCGAGAAAACCGAAGGTAAAATGGTCAGACCGGATGAATAGCGACTTACTAGAGTGTAACAGAAGGGCTAAGGGGCTGACTTCCTCACAAGATCCACTATGTAATGCGAACGGGAAAAAGAAAGGATACATCATGGTTATGAAAAAACTTTGGGAGTAGAAAGGTTATGGTCACCTCGGCTTAAAAGAGCAAAACTTAGGCGATCAAGCCTCGAGGTTATTCTGTGGATAATAGTACTTATAGTGCAACGGGACGAGTGTCATGGATATAGATGAGATTGACCACGCAGAGTATAGTGGTGTAGCGGGATCTGTAAGTCTATCAAGGGATAGTCAAGAACGAAAATCAAAACAGCGATCGACGTGGCCAAAATGCTATTACTACGGCAAGCTTGGATTTGCATGCCCCAACTTCACAATCCCCACAAGTCGCAATGGAGCGCACAGATAATTACCCGTCCATTGAAAACACATACAAAGATCAGTCGCCCGAGGCAATAGGAGGTTTACCACCTTAGAAAGCTGCAAGCGTGCCAGCTTCTGTTAACTGGGGGCGCAAAGGTGACGGAGAATTAAGAATGCTTGACGCTTAAAGCTTAAAATGAAATCATTACATGGCTTAAAAAATAGTTTTCTCGTTCCATATGGAAAAACAGGAAGGGCTTTCATCGACCAGATAACAAAGCACATTCATGACTGGAACAATGGGACTGAGCTGCAGCATATCGCTTTGAAAGCAGCCTTTGTTCTTCTAGCAGTTGGTCTTCAAAAGCCAAGCAAAAAATCAAAGGCAAATGATCATCAAGAATGTCTTGGAAGGCGATTAGTACTGTGGAAAGCAGGAGAAATGACACTCTTCTGCAAGAGGGGCGAATGATACAAGGGCACCTTGATAGATCTCGGAAAGCGGATCCACCCAATATAGCGAAGATCTTCGTGATGGAAGATCAAATACACTCAGCTTTACACTATCTGAGCGAAGAGGATTGTGGTGGCGTATTACCATTATCGGAGCAAGTCATGGAACAAACCGCAGATAAACAAACAGGGGCAAAACAAGCTAAATTCCGGCCAGTGGAGGATGTTCAGGTCATCCTATATCAGCAAATAAACGGAGAGACGGTGCGAGAAGCACCATTAAGAACCAAAGGCTCTTGTGGGCCCTCGGGTTGACCCTTGAGCATGGATGCGAACGGGTTCAAGAGAATGCTGGCCTGCAAGTCTTTTAAGACGTCCAGCATGAACCTTTGTGACTCCTTGGCTACTCTAGCAAGACGACTGTGTACAGAGTCTTTTAATACCCTCACTATTGAGCCAATTTTGGCTAGTCGGTTGATTCCACTTGATAACGGCAATGGGGACGTTAGGCTGATCAGTGTAGGATAGGTTATCAGTAGAATCATTGGAAAATGTGTAACGAAGGTGGCCAAGCGAGATATTATTGAGGCCAGCGGTTCACTGCAAGTCTGCGCAGGATCTAAGAGTGGAAGTGAAGCATCGATTCACGCGATGCGTAACATATTTGAAGCCGACAATACAGACGCTCTCTTACTGATTGATGCCTCTAATGCGTTTAACTCCTTGAACAGGGCTGCTGCTCTGCATAACGTGAGGATATTATTCCCTACAATAGCCACTTACGCAATTAACACCTATAGAGAACCGGCACGTCTGTTTATCATTGGGGGAAAGGAACTGAGATCAGAAGAAGGTACAACCCAGGGGGACCCCCTTGCTATGTGTCTCTACGCAGTCAGTCTTCAGCCATTAATAACACGCTGAAATGCCTCTACGTTCGTAAAGCGGTGTTGGTTCGTGGATGACGCCACCGGTGCTGGTTCCTTGGGGAACTGAAGAAATGGTGGGGTGTACTGAACGGATCGGGACCGAGCTTGGGATATTTTTCCAATGCGAAAAGTGCTGGCTTATTGTGAAGCCCGAGAAAGAAGAGGCAGTGAGGGATCTTTTTGGTCAAACATCAATTAACATCTCCACACAGGGTCAAAAGCATTTAGGAGCAGTACTGGGCTCAAGATCCTATCTTAAGGAGTATGTAAGTGAAAAGCTGGATGATTGTGTTGGCCAAGTGGTGAAACTGGCAGAGTTTGCAACAACCCTACCACAAGCCTGCTATGCGGCATATACCTTCGGTTTGAAGCACAAATGGACGTACTACCTAAGAACGTTGTCTGATATTGAGGAACTGCTAGAACCATTGGAACGCGCTATTAGTGATGTGTAAATACCATCAATTACGGGCCTTACATGCACAACGAGTGAGCAAGAACTGCTGACACTACCATTGAGGAAGAGGGGCTGGGACTAAAAAATCTAGTTGACCGAGGTGGATTCGAACACGCAATCTCTCTTTAGGTAACCACCCCCCTTGTCGCGCCTATCGTATCCCAGGCGCAGGAACGTCCAGATGATGCTCTGATAAAATCCTTGCAGTTAACCACGCGTAGAGAGAGAGATGTGAGACTAGATGACAAATTAGAAGACCTGAGGAACTCCCTACCCGACAAGACCAAGAGAGCGGTCGATCTCGCAGCAGAGAAAGGTGCTTCAAATTGGCTAACTGTCATCCCGGTAAAGGAAATGGACTTAAATCTCCACAAGAGGGAATTCAAAGATGTAGTACATCTAAGCTATGACTGGCCGATAAGTGACGTACCAAATGTATGTGTCTGTGGAGAGCCCTTTAATGTCGATCATGCAATGATTTGTAAACAGGGGGGCTCCATTATACAACGCCATAACGAGTCTGTCATGATGTTGAAATTGAACCTGTTCTGCAGGAGATTACCGGTGAGTCGCTAGCCAGGGGGGCAAATACAGCCCCCAATGCCCGGCTTGACATTCACTCACGGGGTTTTTGGTCTTGACGTTGACGTTGACGTACTGGTGTGCCACCCAAATGCGGAATCTTACAAGGACCTCATCCCCCAGCAAATATATCGCCAGCATGAAAACGAGAAGAAGCGTATGTATCCAAGCGGAGTTATGGAGGTGGAACTAGCCACTGTTCACCAAAACAGGTGGCATTTCACCCGAATGTCAAGTCTATCACAAGCGGCTAGCGGAACTGCTGTCAGCCAAGAAAGGCGAGGGCTACTCGACTACGATGTCTTGGATAAGAACCAGAATCTCATTTGCCATTCTGAGAACATCCCTCATGTGCTTAAGGGGATCGTGTTCAATGAGAAGAGTAAATCTCAACCTAATAGAGATGGACTTTGACATCGAAACAGATTTATATTTTTTCTGATTTAGAGAAAAGATATTGAATATTGCATGTTCAATTGTTTCTACTATTTAATATTCTTATCGTTGTTGGGTCATGTTGAAATCGTGGCAGATTTAAAAGAGGGATTAGTGAAAAGATTTTAAATATTGGTAGTGATTGCTAATAGTAATAATAATTAGCAGAGAAACATTTTCGTGGATTATATTTAAAGAGATATTGAGACATTATAATCTTTCTTTTCTTTCTAGCAGATGTTAAGGTACAAATTTCGTTTTAATTCTTTTTAAGTGAAGTACTGTACATAGGTCGTTTTTATGAGTATTGAATATAGATTTATTATTATTATTATTATTATTATTATTGCTGATACTCTCGGATAAAGGTGTTAAGTCTGCCTAGGCAAGCCAAGAAGCGTCCTTCATTTTACTTTTGCTCCCTGGTCTACATCTCCAACACTTTCCTAAGGATCCTTGCTAACCCCAAAAGGGCACATGCCTAAATCAATGGATGTGTCGACACCTATGGTCCTCAGATTTTCTTTTAACCTCAGTGGTATTGTCCTTTAATAATGCCCCCACCACTATGGGTATCACCTTTGTCCTTACGCCCCACGTCTCTCAGATTTCTCTTGCAAGATCTTGATATTTTTCTCTTTTCTCGTCCTCTTTTTCTCTCATCCTTCCATCATCTGGAATTGCCACGTCTATAAATTGGCAGTTGTTCTCTCTTTTTTCTATGACCATTAGATCTGATCTCCTAACCTCAGTTTCGTTGTCTGTAAGTATACTAAAACCCTACAGCATTTTGCAATCCTCATTTTCAAGTACACTGTCCGGAACATGGTCAAACCACCTCTCATTTCACTGAAACCCATATTTTCCTGACAGGTCCCAATGGATTGCTGTAGCTACGTTGTCATGTCTCTTTTTATATTCTTTTTGTTCCAGTTTTGAACACGCACTTACAATATGCTGATTGTCTCGTTGTTTTGTTTGCGTATTCTACATTTGGGATCGGTCTGTGTCCTGTCGATTGTTGCTTTTTCATAATTTGTTCCTATTGCTTGATCTTGTGCTGCAACATTAAGAGACTCTGTTTCGCTTTTAAGCTTTCCTTCTTTCAACCAATTCCCTGTTTCATCGTTTCTTTGATCTTTACTCTGTCTCGCAAACTGCCCATATAATGGCATCTCTTTCCATCCTTGGATATTTTCAGTTCTTCTCCTGTCTTTGAAACTGGCAGCCGTTTCTTGGTTTTCAACTCCTTTCCTCCTGACTGCTTTCAAAAACGCCTCCTCACTGTTATTATCTCGCAGTATAAAACTTCGGAATGCTGTCCACACTATGAGTAGTACAGGGCGCATAACGTAACCTACACCACTTGAGAAGCTATACTTAGAGGTAGAAAAAGCTCGGTACGAAACCTAATACAATCCTAATATACATAATGATATGAATCTCTCTACTTAAAAAACCAATTTAGAATATTATTAAATTCTTGTACTCTGTAAATCCTACGCAAAGACGTGGCGATATAATTATCTCTACTAGAAGCCTATTTAGAAAATTATTCAGTTTTCATACTCTCATTTTCTCTTATAAACCTACACGAGGCCATCATAATGTGGTTATCTCTACTAAAAGCCTATTTAGAATAATATATCAAAGTCTTATAGTGTATAAAATCTAGGTAAAAACATCCGTAAAATACAGGTTTTGCGACACTTGTGTTTGTAGATTTCTGGAGAAAAAAAAAGCTTAAAATCTGGTGTCCTTAGCGCCCTAACTATTTATCTTAAATGTTCTGGCAATGTTCAAAGTGTTTGAGATAACCAACTTCTGCATCCGCTCAAGTACGCCTCTGTTCTCGCTCCTAGTAGCTTCCCCACTGATCTCTCTATGTGTTCAGAAAACCCACCCAGGACATCAATAATTATTACGTTGTACTGTTCAACCCTGTAACCATTGTATCTCTGCCTCAGCTTCCACATCATTGGCCCATACTTAAGTGCCTTTTCCTCATCTTTCTTGGCTCGACTCTCAATCCATGGGCAGTTCATTTCAAGTTTGCCGTCTTCTTTCCTCTCGTGGCTGACAAGTCGCGCGTCGATCCGATTTGCTCTAACTTCATTGTGCTCTACATAGATGGGAATATCCCAAAACGCCTCACTCGGGTGTTCCGGTTGGCTGGTTTTGGCATCACTAGTGAGTACCATGGTGGAACCTCTTCTATCAACCCATGCTCTCGCAGGAGCTCAAGACTCTTCAAAGCTGCATTATGCCTGTATAGCTTTTTGGTTTGTGCCAGGGAGGAACATCCAGCCAGTACATCTGCAACGTTTTCAGCTACCTTCCCACATAACGTGCATAGGACTTCGCCGTCGGTGGAGGTTTGCGTCTTCTCCTTTGTGTAGAGCTTCGTAGGTAACAGCTGCTCATACAGTTCATACATGCCCGCGATGGTATATGTAGGGCATATAGCCCAACCTCTGACCATGCAAAGCAGCTGGTTATGCTTAGGCTCTCATCTTCCCATCTGATACGGAATAACTTTCCTTGCCACTTTAGCGATCTCCAAGAACTTCATCTCTTGAGATTTCTTCAACAGATTCCCTGCTCTTGCTGCAGTGACCGCCTTTCCGTCCGTTGTAACACACACGGGATTTAGGATATCTAGCTGAAGTGTGAGGTTGAGTTCTTCAGCTTACTTAGCTGCTTCCTTTACAAGCGACTGGTGGCCTGATGCCATGGCGTGTTCTTTAAATTCTCTAATTGCTTCCACAGTCTGGTCCGAATTCTGATACAATGTTAGTAGCGATTTGATTTTAGTAAGCTTCTACTCGTGTTCGACTGATCGCAGGCCTCTACCCCTTTTCTCCCTCGGTAGATGTAACAAAGAAGTTAGGCTAGCTGGGTGCTGGCCACCGTTCCCAATTATGATCTTCCGAGCTGTTCTGTCCACATCTCTTAACCCTGATAGAGACCGCAGCACCGGAGTGCATACTGATTAGTTGCCCGTACACGATAACATTCAGACAGGGGGCTGGACCACATATTAGATATCCTGCGCAGATACTCTTTAGCCACACATGCCAGGGCCAGCCGTTCATCCTGTGGAACATTCTTTAGCACCCCCAGGAATTTGTAGTGTTTTCCTTCCCCAAGAGCCTTGATGGTGGTTGTCTCGTCCATCCTCATACCAGACTCATCTAGCACTTGGGCTCCCCTCTTCACGTGTGCCACTGAGCACTTTTTCTGATTCCAGTGGAGTCCGATATCCTGTATCACTCCTCTAGTCTCCTTCAGCACTCGGTTCAGCTTGCTCTCGCAGGCAGCAAAAATCTTCAGGTCATTGATATACAGGAGATTGGTGACTGACTTCTATAGGCTTGAATAACCCGTATCCCTTTGTTAACCGCAGGCACCACACTACTGGGTTCAGACACAGTGTAAACAATCCTGGACACAAAGCGTCCCCCTGGGGTAGTCCCTTCATGAACCTTATTATTCCAGAAGTCTCTCGCCCTTGCCTTGTTATTATTACTTTATTGTTGTTATTATTATTATTATTATTATTATTATTATTATCATTATTACTATTATGCATGTCTCACACCTATAGGTGGCCTTACTATCATTATTATTATTATTCAACTCGACCATGTGCTTTTGGACAGCGTGGAATGACTCTAATGGTGGAATCTATTTCAAGAGTGAATTCTGTGCGGGTGGTTGTGTGCAAGACACATGATTGTCTCTCTCTACGGATCAGGGGGAATAATTCTTTCCAGTATCAGAGTATCTTTCCAGTATCAGAGTCCTTTTCTCGGATAGAGCTCTGCTGTCCTGTCGAAGAAGGTTTTGAGGTAAGGGCCGGTGTTATCCATTTGTCTGTTTGCAAAGCCGTTTCTAGTTTGGTCAGGGTGGTACGTCATTAGAACTGGTGTAGTGGCAATGGCTAACTTGAGGTCCTTAAAGTCCTTGTGTTGTTCTGTTGACCATTCAATTTTCATACGGTTTCTGGGTGGCTGGCAACGGCTGGAGAAATTGCTTATGATTGTGTTTGGCTTGTATTTCCTGCTGTTTGATGAAGAACAATAGTACTGTCATTACGTCGTTGTAATGGGCCCTTTCCACTGTCAAGGTGTGAAGACTCCTCTTTGAACCGTTCTAGTTATATATCTACTCGGGACAGGGTTGGCTCCAAGGACTTAGGTATGAGATAAAGGCTCCTGGTCATACTAATGATAGGCTTCTGAGTAGGTGTATTTATCCGCTTGTTTTGATTGTCCAGTCTCAGAGGCTTTGGTTTCCTTTGGAATAATTCTGGCAATGTTCGGTCTACCGTAAATGATCAGCCCATCCTTCTTTAGCGTGGCTCTTGAATACCAAAGAATCTAAATTGCTTTTTGGAATCGTCCTTCCATTTTGCCCATTGTATTGCTGTGCCTGTAGGATCACGATCGATAGTAAAGGGCTCTATACTGAGTTATCGCTACCGCTCGTTCAGTCATGGTGGTTTCTTCTCTTCGTCGTCATGACAAGCTAATGAGTAACTTACCTTTACGGTAAAGAACTTCCGTTCCCACTCGCGACCGATTTTTTACTTCAGCTACAAACACCACAACGAATGTCAAAGAACGAGTTCGCAGATTCAAGTCTGTGAGCGCTAACAAACCCTGTGACAGGTTTTTCTCAATTTACTTTTAGAGCATGTTTTCGGAAGGAAGTAAAGACTTTCTTACTACTAAAAAAGTTACAAAATTTAGGTCGACATATTTTCACTTCGCTTCTGATCGGGTACTACACGGCAGGGCGTGGGAACTGCGAACAAACATCCAAACATCTAAAGAGATAACCTCAAACTCGAGATCTCATGTCAGAAATAGGTAGCCGCCCTGTGTGGACAGCAATAATATGAAAGGGGATAGTACTAGTGCATTAAGTTTTATTTTGGCAGAAAGGATTTAAATATGAAAAAGACCAATATCAGTATTATGTGCTCTTTACAGATTCTCAAGAGAGGCCAATTTCTTCCCAGAAGAGCGCCAAGAAATTGATTGGCAAGAACTTATCGCACTTTCTGACGAAGCCAAAGAAAACCAGGAACTATGTAAGTGTTTTAATTCCACGTTGTTGTTGTTTTTTTAAGTTATCAGTGTGATATGGACTTAACTAGCTCCCTTGCAAGAACGTTTAAAAAAGAGAGAATTGAAAAAGCTGATTAGGAATAAATTAAGCACGCTCACTTCATCCACGGATCTGGTCTAACGAAAGAATGAAGCAGAAAACATCTTTACTATGGCTAATTTACCTTCTCTCAACTCAGTTGGTTTAAAATAGACCAATCAGATCAATAACCAGAGTATACTACCATCACCTGACGTGATACATCTCATTTTGACTCTGACGATGACTACCACACAGGTTGTCGAAATGTCAGTCACTGTCAACAACAACAGTCCTATTCAGGACTACCTTCACCCGGACGATCAAACTCAACCTACTTTTGAAATGACTCCTGGGTTCAAACCTTTCACAATAGTAATAATGATATTAATAGTGGTGATGATGATTGATGATGATGATAATATTAATAATGATGAAGTAATAATAATAATAATAATAAAGTGACTATAACCTAATTTTTTTGTATTTTTCAATTAAAAGAACACTTTACTACGAAAACGTCTTCTACAAAATTTAGCGTTTTAAGCAAAACAAGACGCACGAGTGCGTGAACCCGGCCTTCTTTTAGTTCATACAATGATAGAGCGGAAAATGTGCATTATGTTATCCTGGCACCGCAGCCCATATGAACTTTGATGATGAATTGATGATGAATAAAATACTTGCGGCTAGCAAATCAGACTGGGAAGACTCCAGCATTCCATAAGGGTGTAATTGACCATGGCTGCATAACAATGTAATGCATCAAAGTAGTTTTGTAGCTATTTTTTGGAGTTTACAGGATCGAAATTCGATAGTAAGCATAAAATGCCCATTTAAAGAGCTATAAGCTTACATGAAATCTTTGATTTAATTCAACAATGAAATATTGTTTGATCGATCAAAATCATGTCGAATTTTAGCATCAACAACTCTACGTGCTTTACAAAACTGCCGCTTCCGTGCGAGCTCCATACAAGTTAATCCATATTATATGCCAAAAAAAGTCAAAGGATATTTCTTTCCCTTAATATAGTAAGCTTCCGTTTTTATACTGAGACAGCCGGGTAGCACGAGACTTGGACCAAGCACAAACGTCTACGATGAACAGTCCGATTTGTTTGTTTTGATCAATGAAAATGCACCGAAACGGTTGTTAACTGCAACTTTCCTTCAACCAGGTGCAAACATACGTACATACATTCATACGTACAAGCATACATACATACATACATAACTTTATTTAACGTCGGATTTTAGAGTAGCCAAAGGCTAGTACCTCGTATTAATTACATGTATCAATGTAAAACACAAACTGGTAGTAAAAGTGAACGTCTAATTTAAGAAACTATGAGAAAAAAAGTAAACGTTTAATTTCTTTCAGACTAGTACTGAAGACTAGTCCTTCTGCTTTTTAATTTTCTCTTGTCTTACTGTTTTGCCATAAACTTGAACTACTAAGAATAAAATTTGTAAGGTGTTTACAGTGACGTGTATGGACGTGTTTATACAGATCGAACAGTCAAGTTGTACAATTTAGCACAAAAGGGGTCCATAGGTTTTACAAAACTTCTTCTTTCGTGCAACTCGGTACACGCTACTCACCAAAACAAAGCCCTATATTTTTTCTTCAACTTCTTTATAAATTGTCGTGTCTTCTTCACGCAACCAGCAATCACAACCGCGATCTCGATTAAATGGATCGAGCGACTGTTTGTCTGACATTTCAAGGTTGCATTATGCTCTAGACAAAACATATCACTGAACATTTCGACCAAAATAATTGTCGATCTCTCATAGAGGCAACAAAACCACAACGTTAACGCTACCGACTGAAAAAAAAAATGCCTTTTCTTGTTAAATCTCGACAACAAAGTTACATGTTCTTACCTCATAGTTCCTGTTCAAATCGGAAAATTTTTGCGCAGAGCTTCTTGTAGTAATGTGTACTTTCAATTAAAAGAAAGAAAAAAAAATTAGGCTATAAGCACTGTGAAACAAATTGCATTAATTATAAAAGTGAATTATAAATATAATAAAACATCTCCCAGAATCCTTTGAGGCAACTTTTTTAAAGCTTTATAACTTTGACTATTTTATACCTAAAAGGATGCCAGACCATAACAAGATAACATCTACTATCTAGGGTAATAAAGTCATCAGTCACCTGACTATTGCTAAATTATCTTTTTGTTGCTGTGACAATATTTCGCTATCGATTTCAAAACAAATAGCATATTTGGGGTTATGGCTGTGTGGGACGCAAAGCGCCCACGAACGGAGCCCCATAGCCAAGAAAATTTCGTAATCTGCCCATCCGAGAAATTTTGGTAGTCATGTAACCGTCCGTCAGGCACACGATACAACCGTGCTCAAATAATATTTCTTGTCCTAATTGCCTCTTTAAACAGGTATTGCTTGTGATGACGAAAACCACCGGGCCGAGTGTGATGTAATCATTGATACAGGCTATCTAGGGGATACTGAGACGTCTTCCAGTACAATGTCATCGCCATCACGTTCTGATTCTGAAATTGATGATACAGGATTTTGTTTTAAAGGTAAAAGTTAAATAGCGTTTCTTAAAATGCTGTTTTGTTTTTGCTTATTTATCTGTTTTTGAACATGCATGGACTGAATCTTGATGATACACAAAAGTACTTTTAAGCGGCATTCACTTTAAAATTTAGAAATGTGTACTGCTGCAAATTGCTTCCACTCTCACCAAAAAGTTCCCCAAGGCAGTGAAATTCGGAAACACTTACTTTGTCGGGTAGGGAAGACAGATGAAAGCAGAACGTTAGCAAAACGCGGACAACTTTATTACAGATCTCCGTGTGAGCACGGGCTCAAGTAATGTGCACATTGCTTACAATTCGTTTAAGGCTGAGTCGGGGTCAGCGCTAGAGAAATGTCTGCCACAGTTTTTGAAGCACTCAGTCACTGAATAGTTGATCAAAAATTAATCCTCCACGATGAGGATGAGTTTCACGGCATGTTCACAAGCTAAAACCTGTCCACATGCTTCATGGTCAAATTAACTTGAGCTAGTCTTAAGTCAGTAGAGTAGAGTGCGTTTTTGTTTTCATTTCGATGTTTAGCCCAAAAAAAGTCCTTTGACTTGTAAGGAGAAAATGGATATTGTTTGAATAACTTCGCCATGAACACGTCTTATACCGGCCTTTTTATTTTAAAAAAGAAATAAAACCCCCACTTCCCCTTCTTCAGCTAGCCAGTGGCACAATGATGCTTGCGCACGCTCTCGGCTACCGGACTAGTGTACACGGGACCTTAATCTTCCTACAATACCTCCATAACCAGATGACGATCTTGATTGAAATGTTATTGATCTATAGTTATGCTTTACAATTATGATAAAAGCATGAGTTGCCCGAAAAATCAGTAAAATGTTACTCGCGGGAATCTTTGAATTTACATGTGCGTATTCCTATTGAAAAATGTACAAAAATGTTGTCATGATCACTTGTTATTTGGTACTGGATATTGATTGGGTAGTATTTCATAACGTAACAGTGTCAATTCGCAGTGTAAGAAACATAACACCGAGGTGTAACAAGGCAATCTCTATTTTGCGTGTTGTAATTTTGTGATATAGAAAATGTCATGTTCAAGAAGCTGTCAAGAAACTAAATTTTTAACTTTCGTGAACTATCAGAGCAGATCCTCCCTTCTTATTATGATCTTAATCTGAGGGTTTTTTCTGCCTTAAAGTGTATCTCTGGCCGCTTAATTAAGTTTTTAGGTAGATTTTAATTTTACGATCACTTTAACAACAATAATTTTTTTCCCTTAGAAGCTTCTTCTTTCAAAACGTTTGACGTGAAAGCCTGTCGAAGTAAACTAGCGGAAAAGTACCGAAGAATTACCCCCGTGCTTAGTTCTAAGGTTCCTGCTGTTAAATTGTCCTTGGTGAGAGAGACAAAAAACCCAGCTGTACTAACGGAGAATGAGCTGACTCGTTACTGGGACCTTTTCACCCCAAACACGGATGGTGTTGTGCCAAAGAGAATACTGGTCCGAGGGTCCCCTGGAATTGGAAAAACCACGTTCATTCGCAAGCTGGCCTACGACTGGGCTACTGAAATTGCTAGTGAAGGGACTCCTGACAAGCAAGCTGCTGTCTTGAGAAATTTTGAGCTACTTATTACTGTCAATCTGAAAGAAGTTTCCAACTTCCAAAGTCTCCAAGATGTCATAAACCATGCAAATGTTTTTGCAGATGAGGACAAGTCCCTAACAGAAGGCCTCTTACATTATATCACTAACAACCAAGAAAAGGTTCTGTTTGTTTTTGATGGCTTCGATGAGTATCGATGTGGACGCGACTCTGAAGTTTACGAGATATTTAGCAAAGGGAAATTGAGAAACTGCTCTGTCCTTTTAACGAGTCGAATATCTGAAGCTGATGAACTACGAGCATGTGAAGACCTACTTGTTGAGGTAAGGCGGGCAAAATGGCCACTGAAGAAATGTTTTTTGTTTTTCAGTTTTAACGGTTTTTGGCGGGAAACTCATGATGTATCAAAATAATTAATTTTTAAAGAGCATGGCACGATAGAATAAAATGTGAGTTTTTCTTCAAAAGCTTAATTGGTTAAAGAATTATCAGGCTTTGATTCTTGAATTTCCCGCAATTTTGTTACTATTTTAGAAACATAAGCACATTTCAAAATACTCTATCAAGTTTTTTTGTTCACAAGATATTGCCCTGAGAAGGTATCGCTTTCCCCGTCTGAAAGGGGTACCTGTTAAAGCTAGAGATGAATAAAACTGAAGGGGTAAGAATTTCACTTGTCGAAATATGAAAAAATAAAGAAAACTTTCAAAATTGAAGGGGTAAGAATTTCACTTGTCGAAGGAAGAAAAAATAAAGAAAACTTCCAGAACTGTTTTTTAAAGAGGTTCATGTTACTGTTAGTCGAACTCTAACTTTTAATATATCTTACAGGATTATAGGCTGGTGATGGAATACTCGCAGGAGCAACTGAATTACTTCAGGCTCTGCTACGTTGCATTTAATCTGGTCCCAGCAGGATTGCGGCAAATTTTCAAAAATGAGTGGGATTTTCGTTACAAGACAACTCCACTTGGAGAATGGAAAGACACACCACAGAATGGTCGTGATTTCTATAACAATGAATCTAAAGCAAGTCACAAGAAGAATGGCCAGTGTCTAGCCACAATCCAGAATGGTTACACGGCAGAGTGGGACTGCACCTGTTTGTTTTTTGCCATCCTGTACTCAGACAGCATTGGTAAAACCTTGAGTCCAGCTGTCTATAAAGATGTCGATGACATACGTCAGGTGCAAAACGAGATCGCCCATATCACTGACGCTAAGCTGACAGATGCCGACTTCCAAGCTTCTGTGGATCGACTGATAAACGCTTTTACATTTCTTGATCTTTCTACAACTGAGATTCAGGAGGTTAAGAAGCAGACAGCATTTCCAACGAGGGAACTGGAGAAAATTAGGAAGCAAGCTCTTCATCTCCAAGCTGAGTTAGATCAGGCAAAATCTGACTTACAGGTAAAGGAAAGCGAACTTCAGAGAACAGAAGCTGACCTGGTTTCTGCGAAAGAAGAAAACAAGGCTTTCACACAGGAAAAAAGTGCCAAACTTCAGCCGTTTTGCATTCTTACATCGCGCCCACCTCACAATATCATCAGGCGGTCGCATGACATTGAAAGAATCACAAACAAAATGGAGGAGCTTTACAGTGGTGCCAATGCAGCAGTTACTACTGTGTATTTGTCAGGACTTCCAGGATGTGGAAAGAGTCAACTTGCCCGGGAAATAGGACAACAGTTCTTTTCTGAACGAAGTGACGACGATGAAGATCTAGTCTTTGTTGGGACACTAAAAACAGAAAGCGTTGAGACACTTGCTGGTTCTTACATGACCCTTGGAAGACACCTAGGGATAACAGAATACGCCTTGACAAGCTTAGAGTCTTTAAAAAGAGAGAAGCCAATTGAAGCAATTCAACAGCTCCATCGTTTGATTTTGCCTAAAGTTAGCAAGTTTAGCAAGTGGTTGATAATAGTAGACAATGTGACTGACTTACGCTTAGTCCGCGGCTTACTGCCTCAAACCGGCAGTAAGGAATGGGGCCATGGTCAATTGTTGATTACCACTCAAGATAGCGCTACAATCCCTCTTAACGCTCCTCATACGTATCATGAATCGTTAAGTAGAGGAATGATGCTGGACGAGGCAGTGAAATTGCTGGAGACAATATCGCAACTTTCAGAGCAAGAAGAAGCGAAAAATGTCGCTGAACTTCTTGATTATCAGCCACTGGCTCTAGCTGCGGCTGCGTCTTACGTCCAAACTGCTCAAGGGTCTTCAAATTGTGATTGGAAAGCGTATCTTCACGACATATCAACATACCGCCAACGAAAAGAGATTGAAACCGTCCTTGCAACTGAGAATTCAAGCAATGCTAAAACACTAATGACTGCTGTAGAAATGGCTGTCCACATAGCTGTTGACGTTGACGAGGTTCTTCGCCAGGCATTCTCTTTTCTTTCACTATGCGCTCACGACGACATCCCACTCGAAACTGTCTCGAACTTCGTTAAAGCCCAAGTAAAGAACCAGCCAGAAGAGTTAATGAAGGCAAAGATCGAAACGTCTTCTTTACTTCTTGTTCATTCCGAGGAGGGGGATGAACGAACATATTTATGCTCACACAAAATCGTGCATGAAGTTTTAAAACGAAGCGAGATGTTCAACCTCGAATCTAAAGAGATTGACCAAATAATAGGAGAAGCAGTAAAGATTTTCAAGTCCCAGCTTGAAGAAAATTTAGAAAATTATGCTTTTTTTAAAAAATTGAGGCCCCACTGTGAATCGTTACTTAATCACATGGCGTCAGATTTCAGTTCTGATCAAAGTGCTATTTTTGAAAGGTTTACGCCCTTCATAGATTTAGAGGCAGTTATTGATTGGCTAGGTACTCTCGCCAGTATTTGTCACAGAAATTCTTATTTTTTCTATTCGAAAAATGTCGTCGATTTAGCATGCAACCTAGTGAAGAACATAGGCGAGACTCCTTCAGCTGTGTTAATTAAAGCGAGGATTTTTGACATAACTGGTGCGGTGCACGTTGGCATTGGAGACTACAGTCTTGCCAAAAAGTTTCTCGAAAACGCATTGGAGATTAGGCTAAAGATTTGGAGTGCAGATCATGGCGATGTAGCAACAAGTTATAACAACTTGGCATCAGTGTATAAAAGCATGGGAGACTTCAATCGAGCCAAAGAATTTTACGAAAACGCACTGGAGATTAGGCTAAAGATTGTGAGTGAAAATCATGGTGGTGTAGGAACAAGTTATAACAACTTGGCATCAGTATATGAAAGCCTGGGAGCCAAAGAATTTTACGAAAAAGCCCTGATGATTAGGAGAAAGGTTTCCCATGAAGATCATGGCGGCGTAGCATCATGTTTGAACAACTTGGGAGAAGTATATGAAAGCCTGGAAGAATACACTCTAGCCGAAGAATTTCACCAAAAAGCACTGATGATGATGAGAAAGATTTTCAGTGAAGATCATGGCTATGCAGCAACATGTTGTAACAACCCCGCATCAGTATATGAAAGCGTGGGAGAATACGATCGAGCCAACAAAGAACTTCGCGAAAAAGTACTGACGAGTTACAAAAAGAACTTCGGTGAAGATCATGCCCATGTAGCAACAAGCTATGACAACCTGGCGTCAGTGTACAAAAACCTGGAAGAATACAATCGAACCAAAGAATTTTACGAAAAAGCACTAATGATTAGGAGAAAGATGTTTGGAGAAGATCATGGTGATGTAGCAACAAGTTATGACAACCTGGCCTCAGTGTGCAATATCCTGGGAGAATACAATCAAGCCAGAGAACTGCACAAAAAAGCACTGATGATTAGGACAAAGATTTTCGGTGAAGATCATGCCCATGTAGCAACAAGCTATGACAACCTGGCCTCAGTGTACAAAAACCTGGGAGAATACAATCGAGCGAAAGAACTTTACGAAAAAGCCCTGATGATCAGGAGAAAGATTTTTGGTGAAGATCATGTCGATGTTGCAACAAGTTATTACAACTTGACATCAGTGTAGGAAAGTCTCGGTGAATACAAACGAGCCAAAGAACTTCATGAAAAATTTATACTTGTGAAATATATGCTAAAAAAGTAGTATTCAGTTTGTTGTAGTGTAATTATGTAGCCTGGTCTGCCTCGCATAGCCTCACTAACTGCAGGCCAGTCCCAATATATTTTATAATTTATTTACGAATTTAAATAAAAGTTGTCATCAGTTAATGATAGCCTGGGAGAATTCGAATGTAATCAAACCAAAAACGGCTGGTGATGGAGAAAAAGATTTTCGTTAAAGATCATGCCGTTGTAGCAACAAGCTATCACAAACCAGCATCGGTGTACACAGAGAACACAATTAAGCCAAACACTTCATGAAAAACTGGTGATTTAGGAAAAGATTTTCTACGAAGTTTATGCAAAATTAGCAACAAGTTTTCACTACCTGGCGTCAGTGCTCAACATCCTCGGAGAACAAAATCAAGCCAAAGAACTTCACTGGTAGTTCGGTAGAAGATATTTGGTAAAGGTCATGCCTATTAAGCAGCTAGACCCCTATAATAATTTTGGAAATAGATAGATAGATGGGTCCATAGCGCTGTTTTCAAATATGACTAATAACTCCATGCAAGAATTTTGCATAATATCTTATTCTCTAATGATAATCTGAAATAACCGAGAGAGAACTGTAAAATTACATGGTTATGATGTGCGGAGAGAACAGCTCTTACATCTATCATCTGTCATTGAGCTTATATCATTTTTACGAATTCTACTTTTAAAGATGTTCAGAGTTTTCGCTGATATTAAATCAGGAGGTAATTTTCGCCATAACCTAGGCCCAAGATACCTTAAAGAATGTTTACCATATGTTACAGTATTATATCTAGGAATAGAGAAATCCAAATGTCCTAAAGAATAAGAACAGCTATGATTATTGAAAGGATGACAGATATAAGTTGGACATAGATTGTACTTCACTTTGTACATAAGGATGCAAATATCCTGTAGGCGCCTATTCGATAGTGTTGGTAATTCCGCCTTCTCAAGAAATTGTTGATAACTTGCATGCTTGTCTCTATATACAGCCCTCAGTCCCCTTTCTTGCAGTCTTTCCAGTTTTCGTCCATCACTACATCGACAAAAATGCCAGACTGACTGATTCGTTGCAAGTCTGTTTGCCAGAATTTTTCATTTTTAATACAACCTGACCAACCCTGCCCCCGGAAAAGATTAATAAGGATAACTCTCTAAGTGACCAGCCGTAGTTATGAACACTTTTTTAGGCTTCTCGAGGATATCTCCCTAGTTTAGCCTGAACTATAGAAAAAATGTAACATATTCCATGATAATCCGTTGTACTTTTCATTTGTAGGTCAATTTAAATACTGCTCTGTTCGAAAATTGTTGTTTGAATATATCAGGTTGGGCGATTAAATTAGTATAGGTAATAGCATGATTTGCAGTGATATTTGGCATAAATACCACTAGTGATATTTCAAATTCACGAGCCGTTAGGCGAGTGAAATTTGAGACAATTTTGAAATATCACAAGCGGTATTTATGCAAATTTCACGTACAAATCATGCTATTATTTGTTTATACTACTACCCACAAAAGGTTTGTAATTTTCACATGTAGATATTTCAAATTAAGCTGAAAAACCACTGCTCTAAGCAAATCAAATTGCAGAAATTTCTCATGTAGTAGTATAAATATTGGAATAGGTTGAATCTATTGTCTTGAAATATTACTTACGAGGGAGAGATAGTTATTGACTTAGGGGTAGATACCAAGCCCAGGAAGTAAACTCCTACAAGATATTTTGTATTAATGTATACAGCTATTTCGAGAAAGGTTGTCGGAAAAATGTGCACGCGACAATCCCGAAAGGTAATATATGGGATATGATGCATACACTGTTCATGACGACTGTACCTGTCGAACCTACTTTTGTTGCTTTCCTTTGGCACTCGCAAACACATTCCCACGGTCTTTCGTACCAATTCTTTCAAATTTCTTTAAAGAACAGTGAACTTAAAAGCACCCACAGTGCCTTTCAGGATTGTCACGTGCACTTTTACCGACAACCTTTCTCGAAATATCTGTATAAGGTCGAAAATTCTGAGGTAACTGAGCCCAATTGCGATATATATTTTACAAACAAGATAAAATCAATCAAAGATGGCGGAATCACTTGCAGTGTGATGTATCTAATCCCTATTTGTGAGGAAAAATAAGTCAGGTAATTGGTAGCAAAAACACTTCAAGTTTTCTCAATGTTTTGGACCTTACAGATGACTCATGCAAATGTAGTGCTTGTGCTACATACTACATTTTCCTTATTGATATTTAAATCACAGATTGCCCTAACGTACTTAGAAGGTTTGAAAGTTTGGGCAATGAACAATGAACAATGGTGTTTTACATTAAATGACTCTTAGCCGAGATTTTTAGTTATTTTACAAAAGACTCTTGACCTGTCACTTGTTTGAAAGTAGAAATTAAGAGTCCTGTTTACCTTTTTGTGATCTGTTACTTTACGGTGTCGCACTATATTTTTACCTGAAGATTGAAGCATTGCAGTAAATCTGGCGAAGTTAGTTTGGAAAAATAAAATCTCCCCAATGTACACGAGGTAGTAGTGGGTCTCACTATGAGTCACATATTCAAAGACTATTGACTCGAAGAAGATTCGAACGTGTAGTCTGCATGTATATATATATATGTATATATCTTAATCACAAATGAAGATAGAAAACAGTTTCCTTTCAATCTACCATATATAGACCAGTAGGTGAACCACAGAGAAGTTCTGTTTAATCTGTAGGCCTCACATGGCAACACTGAACAAGCGCAACGAACTTGTCTCAACATGTAGACATCGACGCAAGTTCATGAACATGTCAAAGCCAGAGATTTTAGCGCGAGCATTTCGTATAAGAGTTGTAGGCGATTAAGAGCACGTGCGAGCTTTTCATTCTAAAATTTTACAAAAAATTTAATTTTCAAACGTTATATGTAACCGTTTTAGTTGTTGTGGTTCACTTTTATCCTTGATTTAAATTTTAGTTCCCTATTTCCCTTTGTCTTAAGCTTATTATCATACATTACCATATCTCAAAACAAAGGGAAATAAAATTTAAACCAAAGGATAAAATTCAACCACAACATATACAACAAATAATAAGTTCAATTAGTTAAATGAAATACATGTATTTTATAATGAAAGAAAAAGAAAGTCATTGAACATGCAAGGAGTGTCTGTCATTGATGTTGGACGTAGGGGCTATTTACATAGAAGAGGAATATCCTAGCAACAGGAGGACCCTAGAGGGCGTAACAACTTTTCGTTAGGTTTACATGCAGAAATTTTCGGTTCGTGTGGGTAACAAGTAGAGAAGGAATTAAAGATGGCGGGTGATAATAGTAAACATGCAATTTGAGCTCTGCTCTCTTAACTGGCGTTAATAACTACCATTCAGCAGAATTATCATTATTATCAGCTCGAGGTAACTCCAAACGAAATGGCCGGCCTTTATTACCGTTATTACCCACTGAACGACACGCCGCCATTTTGGTCTACTTTGTCCCTAGTTCTAGGATCTCTCTGGCGAAAGCAATTTTCATGGAGCTAGGATCTTCTTACATCTCAGTTAGGAAGTTCCTAGCGCCAGGGGCAAGTACAACCCTTTGCATGTAAACTGAGTAAGAAAACATGTGGCGATAGGATGGTTCGTCTTCTAGGATCTTCCTCTCTCCATGTAAACAGCCCTTCAAGATAAGTGTGTATATCCGTGTAGAAAATCATCATGCCAAATTTAAACTCAGCTTATTTGTTATAGGAAGGGTTCATTAAGGTCACGAACGCTTTAGTGACATTTATAAACAGGGAAGACCATGTTCTATTATGGACGGCTTCTACCTGCCGCGCCTATTATTTTTATTAAGAAATCTTAATTCAAAGGACTTGTTACTGTTGTCGTTATTGTCTCTAAGAAACATCTTTTTAATTATCCCCGTTGGAGGCGGCCTAGTCTACTCCATTTAGCGTTCTCCTTTCTTATTGTTTTTTTTCTCGGCTGTACACTTCTCGTTCGTGACAATGATGAATGCTTCCAGCGGCAAGTTTCAATTTGGCATGATGCATTATCTAGTAGGAAGACACTAACCTCAAAGATTTTCTGTGCGCATTTGAAAACTATATAGTTGAATTTGCGCGGTATATATAAATGTTATTATTTATTTATTATTTATTTGCTCTGTGTACGCCACAAACAACTTATACCATTGTAAGCGCAAGTGGTCGCTGTAGCACGTTTCGGATAAAAAATGTAACAGATGTAAATATTTTTTTTGCCCATTGTAGTTTTATTATTGTATATTTGCAGAAACCCATAGGGGGTTGAAACGTGTAACTCACATTCAATGCTTGTGAATATTCATTTTGACCATATTTGGAAATCTTAGTGACGGATATCCATTTTCAACAAAATGGCTGCTGCGCGATCACCATGCAGATGTTTTAAGACAAGAGTGAGTTCTGCATTTTAAGGTTAAAAATACACCGTTAAAAGACAAAAAATGGAAAGAGAAAGTTCAAAAGCATGCTCAGCTTTCTTTTTGTGGGGAAAGGGAAGCTTTTCATCAAGAAATCGTCCTTCGAGGAATTCAACCTTGTTTTCTTCACGGCGGAGCCTATGGTCTGTTTTGAAAAGGCAGGTACAAAAGTCGAACCGGATCAACTCGGACCTCCAGTCCGGGTCGAATCAACTCGGATCGACTCGGACCAACTCGGATCGAATAAAAAAAGAAAAATAAAATAAAATTGGACTCGGATCAACTCGGATCATAAACAAAAAAAAAACAACTCGGATTATAAAAAGAAAAATAATATCAGTCGGTATCACTTAACTTTCACCCGCCGTTTTGTTTTTTTCTCACGAACTCGTGGTTGCGTAAATTAATTTTATTTTTATCTTTATTAATTTTAATGATACACTAGTGAGCACCACACATACACTTCCAGTGAACATTTTTAACTTGGAAGGAGGAGAAATCATGCTCGCCCGGGACAACGAAAATTTTCGTACCCTAGGCCAGAATTGAACTCACGACCCTCAGAATACTGTATGTTTATCGGACGTTCCAACCACTGAACCGGAGGGTCGCGAGTTCGATTCTTGCCCGGGGCATGGAAATTTCCTTTGTCCAGGGCGAACATGGTTTCTCCTCCTTCCAAGTTGAAAATGTTCACTGGAAATGTATGTGTGCTGCTCACTAGTGTATCATTAAAATTAAGTTTCAGAAGTCCTGCAGAAAAAAAAAACAAACAGGAACAAACAAACAAACACTCTTCGGTAACTATCTAAATGCGATCAACAAACAAGGCTTTTGATGCTTTTCTCATAAATAATTCACTAGTCTAATAAATAAGCAAATATATACATTCTAGGCGACTGAAACTATCATTTCTTTACTGTCGAACCACAACCATGAGTTTATAACATGATCCGAGAGGAACTGGCACCACTAAAACAAATGGCGCCTGAAAGCCACGGAGAAAAAAAGGATGATCTGGCCTTTTTTACCCTCCAAATAGGTTAAACTTTCAGTTTTGCTGATTTAATTTAATTTTTTTGATTGCTCCGAGTTGATCCGAGTCCAATTTTATTTTATTTTTATTTTTTTATTCGATCTGAGTCGATCCGAGTTGATCCGACCCGGACTGGCGGTCCGAGTTGATCCGGTCCGACTTTTGTACCTGCCTGTCTTGAAATGCAACGAAGTCAGCGAAGTTTTTGCGGACTTTTCAGGTACATTTTGCACTCTATGGCCAAGACAATTACGTTTTAGAAAGGGAATTTATGTATTTTTAAATGTTTCGTATACGTTTTATAAATTTTTCTCTTCGGCGCTAAAGAAAAATTACAAAATGTGCCCTGATTTGAGATGGATTTTGTGTTGAATTTTGCCATGTGCTTAGCCGATGTCACTTGTGTGAACGGATCCACGATCCAGATAGTGTTTTCCGAATTGCTTTAAAGGATTAACTTTTTGGACTTTGAATAAAAATTTTCAAGAAACGGCTTCTCTGTCTATTGTTTTGAGTTTGTTCATTCATAAAATTAGCTCAAAGCACGATCGTGACTACAACATCTTAGGCCTGGGGCAAACGTCGAATCTAAGTCGAGTCGAATAAATTAAAGATAGGTTCGACAACAAACGTCGAACTTGCGTCTATCCTATTTCACGGGAATAAGAACGTATCCCCGCGCTATTCACTCGATGCGCGGCTAGTTACTGCTAGGACTTGCTAGCGAAATAGCGAAATACAGTGCTACAACATACTTTGACAGTCGATTTTTAGGGGGTGGGGAAGGGCGCTTGTTAGGTCGTGGGTTATTCGAGGTAACACGGTATCTGGTCAAATGATCGACTAAAAAAAGAGAATTAAACTTATAAGTGTGATCAGTCGATTACCATGCCGTAAAGCTGGATAGGTATTTTGATAACCTGAGAAAACAGCCCACAAGTCAGATTGTTTTGAAGACCCACAAACTCCCTACTTAAATCAAGCCACCCAAAAAAAACTTGACAAATTTTCCAACCCCAAAAAATCCCGAAATCGAAAATTTCAAGCCCAAATTGAAACTTTAAAATTGTAAAGAGATTTTGATTAAATAATAGGAAAAAAGTCTTAAAGCTTTGAAAGAAACAAACCTGTCCTTGACTGACTCGGGATTGTCGAAAAAGAACAAAATTTCTTTTATTATTTTTGTGAGATTTGCTCTCTTTGTCACAGCTGTGTACTGCCTTAATGTTCCAATTGGCCGATATTCACAATGTACCAAAATGATCTTTTGAAAAGTCACATCATTTAATTCCTGTATTGAGATCGAACAAAGGAATCGAAAAGACTATCAATCCTCAATAAAAGTACAAAAAATGATTTTCGATTATTTCTTGGGAATTCACCATAAGGTTGATCACAAAGCTAAAATATAATTTGCGTTCCAAACATGTTTGCCGTTTTTCGCCATTTATTAGGCGTTGGAGCTCGACTTTACGGCTGATAGAAAATTTTCTGTACATATTTACTTGCAAAAAGGGATTCCTTACAATCATGTTAAGAAAGCAGTTGTTTAAAACGCTAGAAGAGACGAGAAAAACTACGGAGAGAGAAAACACAGATGACTTGGAAGTTCAAGATGAGTCACCGCTTAGGAGAACTCTTGGTATAATTTGTGCCATGTCATCCTGCATCTTTTTTGCGTTTTCCTCCCTCCTTGTCAAACTGCTTCGAGAAATTCCTCCCCAGGAAGTCGTTTTCTTCCGCAATATGGTTCAAGTTATCTTTGTCCTTCCCCCGTTAATCTACAACAAGATTCCAATTGTTGGCAACACGAAGCATCTTCCATTTTTGTGCGTTCGTGGGATAGCCGGAACTCTAGCTCTTTGCTGCCAGTTCTACGCTTTCCAGCACATGGCCCTTGCAGATGCGACTGTTATCGTGTTTTCCGCTCCTATATTCACGGGAGTTCTGGCACATTTTCTTCTTGGTGAAGCTTGGGGATGGTTCGATGCAGTGGCGACTTTACTCTGTTTTACCGGCGTTGTCCTCATAGCAAGACCGACGTTCTTGTCAGTTCCTCGGCAGATTGAGTCCACGACTCTTTCAAGTGATTGGGAACAGGTAATAAAGACCATAATTTTAGTTCATATTAGTGTTATTTGTTGACCCTTTTATTTCCACATAGAAATAAATCAAAAAAAATGTTCGAAATTTCATTTCAGTGCAAAATACTGCATGGTAACCGATTGACATCGCAAAAGTAACTCTCGAGATGAATACGCCCTCATTTCACCATGTATAGTCAAAATTCTGAGGCGTTTTATGTTTTAAAAAATGACTTTATTCATAGTGGTGACATAATTACTGGTAACCCATTAGTTTATATACATTGTGGCCCACAAATGAGGAGAGAAACAAATAATCGAACTGAAAATAAAATTTAAGAATCTCAACTGGCCAGGGGCAAACCAATCGGTTATATTAAAGAGGGACTAAATGGGATTTACCGTCAGCAGTCAAACGGCCTAAAATTGAACAGTGTGTCAAAAATGCAAAGTGATATTAACCGTCAAAACGCTTCAGGGTATTTGAAAACCATTCCAATATTCTATTTCCAATGTAGGTCACTGCTAGCCTGGTTGCCCTCTGTGGTGCCATATTGACCTCCATTGCTCTTATCGCCATAAGAAAGTTGAAGGGGGTCAACTTTTTGGTGCCCGTATTCTTTGTTGGACTTTCCAGTGTGGTCCTCACAATGGGAGCTATTCTTGCATCAGGATCTTTCCAGAGTGTCATATGCGGGCACTCACATGAATGGTTCCTTTTGGCACTTGGCTTCTGTGGTCTTGGTGAGTGATTTTTCGTCTATATCCACAAGTAAAACCATGTTCAGCTAAGCGTTAATGCAGTGATGTCGTTAAGTGATTAAGTGATTGTTTGCGGTGGAACTTATCCATGGGGGGGGATACTCGACCAATATCTGGGTACAGGTGAGCCGCTGAGGGTTTGAGACTCTGACCCTGTGTAGGACAAAAAAAAAATCCTAAAATACGTACTTTGTTTGGGATAACACCCTCAGTTTTATTACCCTGTTAAGGACAAGGAGTGAATGCACACTTTGTTTTAAAGCCATTGCGTTTGTATACTTGGAGTACAAACAAATTCCATCCAGCAAATCAAATCGATCGTGCAGGAAATACCCTGTTTATAATAACGGACAGACTTGTGCGAAATTATGTACCCTGTTTAGAACACAGGTGAAATATGAGGGAGTACCCCTGGAACTGATAATCAAAAACCTCCCATTTATATTATCACAGGTGGCCAGGCCCTTCTTACGAGATCCGTGCAACTGGAGAGAGCAGGCGTGGTTGCTCTTGTGCGAACGTTAGACATCGCCTTGGCCTTCATTCTGCAGCTGCTCTTTTTGGATTATACCGCTAACGTTTACAGCATCGTGGGCTCAGCGCTGGTTTTGGGGTGCAATATAATGGTGATTTTAAACCGAGCCGGGCTCACCCCGAATAAGGCCATTAAGAACCAGGGAGGCCTGCCAGAGGAATTGAAAAGTCTTATTGGAACAGTAAAGGGTCAGTTATATGGCAGGAATAATTGAGGACTCGCAACCTCGAAAGGGAAAACAATCTGCAAGTGAACTTTTTCTTGTATTTTAGTAGCCTGTGTAGCAGGCGCCGGTTATTAATTATTTTACAGGCCGCTCGAGGAGAACAGGCAAAGGGGAGAGGAGGCTTCCTCTCCTCGCCCTTAAAATACCGGCGCCTAGTATTTTAGAGTTTAGTCTTATAGTTGAAATGGAGCTGCACGTATGTTCTTTTTGGATAAGCGTGTTCTCCTTCGCAGAGACCTCTTTGTACCTTAGGGAGGCTGGGGAGAGAGAAAAAGAAAGCGCCCGGGGACGATGGGAAGGGCAGGAAAAAGAGACCTTAAGATACCCCGATATCGGTGTACGGGTACGGGTAGTGTACCCGTACACGCAAAATGTTCATGTGCGTGACTATTTCGATTAAGATACCCGAAGAACAAGCACGCAAAATTAACTTCGTACATGCATGTCGCTTAATGCATACAAAATCTCCCTCAAATTCTACACTTCATATCTTAACAACAAGCTGCAACAAATAATTGATTCATACATAAGCTTATTGAAATATCATGGAAAGATTTTAAGAAACTTGGCGGGAAGTCCCTCGACCGAAAGCTTGTTATCGCAAACCCCGCCATTTTGATCGAGGCACATCACCAAACAATTCCTTTGATTGTCAACTTCAACAGTGGCTCCCATGCTAAATATTTCAATGCTATTTCTTTTGCGAAACTCAGACCTTCGAGCAATTCTCAGAAATCCCCCCCAAATACCGCCACAAATTGACATCGTTTTAGAGTTCAACCTGCGCATTTGAGGTCCAAAATCACTATACATTTTGAAGCGCTTTCTTTACAGCTAAAATTCAAATTTGGCAAAAGTATTTGAACAGACTTGCAATAACATTGCCAAGGAGTCATACAATTTACATTTGTACTTAAAAAGTCTTAAAAACTTACTCGCTTCTCCATCATGTAGGACTTGCAGCTACTCGTAAATCTTCTACGGGTAAACTGGTGTCTACCCCGGAAAAACGGCTGGTTCTACCGGGTAAGGTCGATGACGTCACCACAAAATGGAAAAAACATGGCGCTACCCGTTACCCGTACACCGATTTCGGGGTATCTTAAGGTCTCTAATAAAAAGAGGTACCCGCCGAGGCACCAGTCCTTTCCTCTTCCCATCATCCCCCGCACGCTTACCTTTTATTATTATTATTTTTTATTTGGATCCCAGCGATGGCCTATTTGAATAAGAGAGGGACAAGCGAATGCTTTGCGTCCGGGGTACCCCCGTATAAAAGGGAGAAGGATGTATGGCTGGCTAAATTTGGCTGGCTAAATTTGTGTTTTATGCGGGGAAGAGGTACCAGTTTATGATCACAAGATGTTCAAAACTAGCAGTAAAGAAAATAAATATGGATTAATTTGACTTCGAGTTATATGTGTCTTTGTTTCTTTTTGCATTGGCTTACTGGCGTCACCTAAATCTCTTCAAATGTTGCGTATGCGCTTGCAACAATCCATTAATATCAGTAAACAAACTAGGGGATGACTCCCACGCTCGTGCCGCCCGTCTGCAGTGCTCTTTGCATCCATTGCGGACCCATTAATTGCGTGCACATCCCTGTCCGCGAAAACCTGGTCCTAGTCGGTTGTGGGAACGCCTTGCGAGTTTTACAAACAAACATGGATTCCTTTCAAGCCAGGGACAAGAAGTGGCTGGGAGTGGAGACTCTTTTACGCGATTTACTAAATCTTATCGATGATCGCGACTCTGCAGATGTCTTATTTCTTGTTGGGCAAGATGAGGTTGCAGTATATGCCCACAGACTGATGTTGGTTGCTCGTTGTAAGCATTTCCGTAACCGCCAAAGAGAGCTATGGTCCTCGAAGTCAGTTCATTCGCAGCTGACAGTGAGAAAACCCGATTTCAGACCCGATGTTTTCCGTGAAGTGCTCACGTTTGTCTACACGGGAAAGGTAACTATGCCGTAATCTAGTTTTTGAAAGCAGATTATGCTGCTATCTTTTAATTGTACAAGTTTAATATAAGTACTGCTTGCTTTGTAGATAGTTTAAAATTGGTCCGCTTCTACAATAAAAAGAAAAGCAATAAAAGCAAAAAAAAGCAATAAAAAAACCCTGGACATCTGGGCTTTGGGCCGGGTTGTTCAAAGCAGAATTCAGATAAACCAGTGTCAAATATTAAATTTGAACTCAGATATGAAAGCCAAAAGCAAATTCGTTTTAATTCTTTTTGTCTATAATTTAATGACCCTGAAATATTTCAGGAATGTTTATAGTGGCTAATGGCAACAAAGTTCAGGACACACCTTTTCTTTGGTTACCAGGTTGAGCTTCATAGCCGTACAGCTTTCGAGATGCTAAGGATTGCTGAGGACCTGGAAATAACTGACCTACAGTTAGCTTGTGAACAGTATTTCATGGACAATCTAAGTGTAGACAATGCAGCAGAATTTTTGGCAGATGCCCTGTCTCTCGCAAAAGGTGCCGGAGCGGGGGGCATGTCTTCTCTAGTGAACAAGTGTATTGGATTCATGGAAGAGAATGCTGAGGATGTGATACATACTGAAGGGTTTCTCCAACTTCCAAAGGCAGCAATGATTAGACTTGTGTCTAGTGATCAGGTATAAATAGATAAACTACTTGATAAGATTGTATCAAATGATCATCTGTGCCTCTGTTTGGGTACCTGTGGGCGTCGATTTTGTCCCTCTTTTAGAATAAGACCTCCATTATTAGATTACAAATTTCAGTTTACCATTGGTTGCATCTAAGCGTGGACATGAGACAGGGCTGAAAATAACAGACAGCAGGTTGCCGGTCATGATGACCGGCCAAATATTTTTTAGCCTGGACAAATCCCGATTCTGGCCGGTCAAATTATGAATACTATAATTTTTTTTTACGTAAGGAATATCGAATTATGCTGGCAAGAGATCATTATTACTACATTGACATTCACATTTTTGACAGCAAGTTGGTGAAAAATGCTTTTGCACGTTGTAGAGTTCCTTTTGGCGGTTTTTGCGGGTTTTAATGTTACGTTCTACTTTGAGTATCATCTTACGGTGGTGTCTGAAGTCTCTCAAGGTAAAAAGGAAGAAAAGGAAATGGAAATGGAATACACATACAGTTCAACAAACTTTAGGAATTACCCCCCAAAAAAATAATTTGGGTTATTTTACTAAATCTGCACACGATTGTTTTACGTTGATGCCCCGAAATGAACATCGGTGAAACTTTTTCCTTGCCTGGCACGTGATTGAAAGTCGCTAATATTTTTGGCAAAGAAGTTGATTTGCATGGGCGAGAAGTTTGTTCCACAAACAGCGTGTTTATCATCAGAAGTCAATAAATATACAGCAGAGCTTTCATTTGGGTCATCGCGCAACATTTGATCGCGAAGGGCTCAATTGTCAACAGAAATTTGCTTAAAGTTGTTTACAAGAACGAGATAGACGACAACCTTCCCTCTTGATTAGCATAAATTTTTATCTGACTATTCTGGAATTGAGTCTTCAAACGAGATTCATGTTCGACGTAAAAGAAATTTTTATTACTCGATGCACTAACAATATTCTTGAAGAAACACAGGATCACCTGTTGAGGATTGCGATCAATCTGCCCAAATTCCGTCGAATTCCCAAAGGTCACATTACTGATTACAACAAAGCAGAAAGTACAGTACGACTTGCAACGTTTCGTTACTTTTCAACTCAGTTTGTTATTCACTTTGTTTCGTTTCATTACGACATGACGACATGAAATTATTTTATTGCGACGTTCTTTTTCTTAGAAGGGTTAGTGCAAAGCAGCAAAATAAGCCAAAGAAAAAAGAAATCATTTCAGTGTTCTAGAGCATTAAGCGACAACTGTATGGAAAATAAAATGTTTGTATCCAAAACTGACCAGTCAAAATGACCGGCAAGACCAGACTTTGACTGGTCAAGTCCGCGATCAGGCCGGACATTGTCCATTGACCGGCCGTTATTTTCAGCCCTGTGAGACAAAAAAACATGTTCTAATAGATGCCAAACATGACATGTTTTGCCGTCAAACATTTGAAGTTTGACAGCCATTTTAACGGCTGCTTTAAAAAGCAAACTGTCACGCCAAAGGTAAGTTGTTTACCGGTATATGTTTTTGATTGGTGCATTCTGCTTATATTTCATTTTTCTGAACTGTCAGGCATATTTCTGACTCAGAAAAATCACAATTTCCTTCTTAACATCTAAAAGTTCTTGCAAAGAATATTTTGTTGAGTGAAAACAAATCAAGTCAACAACTGCTGCATACTCTAAACTTCGCATGTTTGGTGGCAAAACATGCATGTGTGCACCCAACTGGAACATGTTTTTTCCTCACATGTACACGCTTAGATGCAACTGACAGTAGACTATTTTGATTGTGGAACTTTGACCTGATAGTTTGATGTGAGTCTTCTGTATTTTTTAACCACACAGTTTGCAGTCTCAGAGGAGGAGCTTTGGCGCGCTGTCCTATCGTGGGCAAAAAGAAGTTCAGGTGTAAGCAAACCAACCAATCAGTGGACAGAAAAGGACAATGATAAGATAAGAGAGGTAAGATGTAACAGACATGTAAGAAATGATGGTGTTTAGCTAATCTAATGCTAATAGCTTCCATTGACTGCTTTTATATTTTTATTAAAAAATATTGTTCCTTGTTGTCACTATATAATTTAGCTGTTGACAGGTATATTTTACTTTGATTTGAATCATCTCTGGACGTAAAAATAGCAGATGTTAGAAATGTTTTCTTGCTAGTGACTAGTATGGTGAAATATTGGTGATTGGTGACTAATAAATGTTATAAACTTATGCCAGTTGCTCAGTCATTGAAGTATAGCACATCACCCCTTAAGGTCAAAATTAATTTTTCTTGTATTCATTCCTCTTAAGACTCTGTCTGGAGTGATTGAACACATCAAGTTGCTGTTGATTGACAGTTCTGTTTATGCTGAGGAGGTGGAACCTACAGGTGTTGTTCCAATGGAAGTGTCATTGGAGAGGTAATTATTCCCAAGTCGTGATTGCATCTTTATTGTTTTACTCCAGTTGTGCCGAGCACAGACCTACCTAATGGGGAAGGTATGAATGGGACTCATAGGTACCATGTGAGGTGCCCTCCCCACCCTACCCAGGGTTTATCACTGCCAGAGATTATACTAAGTCCTGAGTAGTTCCTTTTACATCCTACTAGTTTCAGTTCATTGAAAGAGTCAATGCAATGTCCAATGAAATCATTCAGAGCACACCTTGCATTGATGGAAATTTTGAGCAAAAAAATAATGAGCTCTTTTTCCTTTTTCAGGTATCGATTTGCAGCAGTACCTGGTCACTTCAAGAGAGCTGAAGATCCTCGTTTGAGGCCCAGAGCATCTCACAAGTTGTTTCATAACACAAGTCTCTTGTCCAAGGATCGTCTGAAGTTTCAAACTGTGTTGAATGTTTGGTTTGAGAATGAGCAGCAGGAATGGCAGCTGCTTTATAGAGCTTCAAAAGATGGATTCTCAGCTGCATCATTTCATGCGAAGTGCGACGGCCATTCACCAACCCTAACTGTTGTTTTAGTAAGTAAAATCTGGAGGGCACCCATTGTGGAAACTAACCGGCCTGCGAGCAAGCTCTTCGGGGTGCTCTGGCAGCAGGGCGGGAAAAGGAAGAAGAGCTTGCAACTATGTGTCTGGAATTTAAATATCTGGATTGAAAAAGTTGATGCGAAAATAATTAATGTTGATTGGCAGAGATGACACAAGTAATGATGTCATTACCCATAGCATTACATTACGTTGTTTACATTCGTGCTTGTTTCTGCTTCGCACTGATTGGCAGAACTCTGACAGCTCAGTTGATGGGAAGCCACTGGGGAATTGGAGGTGGAATTCAAATTCCAGAGACGTAGTTGCAAGCTGTCCTTCCTTTTCCTGTCCTGCCCCCAGGGTGCCCCAGAGAGGTCTCTCGCAGGCTATGTTCTTACTGATTTCTATGTCATTTTTTTGCTATAAATATATATCCTTATACCTTTCACTACTAGAAACTGGTGGTAAACATCAGGAATATGTATAATATACAGGGTGTCCCCAAAATTTTTCCTTCTTGTTGCATGCACTATAACTTTTGTACTCCTTACATGTTTTTTGATTTTCTTGATGATAAACTGTTATCAGGGTACAAATGGGAATTTGTGTGGAGGATTCAGTGACCAACCATGGCGCAGTGATATTCCACGTGGAACTTACATGCCTTCTAATAGGTAGGAAAAAATTAGTATCTTCAATCTTGTGCATGTTTGTTATCATCATCATCATCATCACTATTATTTTTTGGAATTAATTTCTGTTATTATTTTTGCGCAGCTCTCCTTTAAATGAGTATTGCAGCAAGCATTGTATATAATGCTATGAGTAATCCAGCATATGGACATGCATTACATCCGTGTAGGGTGTGGGAATACACCTCCAATGTTTTGTAAACTGATTAAGACTTTTAAAACGTCTAGACTGAGGCTAGTTTCAGCTAATGAGCACGTTTACTTACACCCAAAAGACAAATGAAGTATATGCAGACAGTGAAAATGCATGCTACTCTGAAGAAACTGTTGAATTTAATGTTACGATTTATTAGGATGACAACCATAATCAATAATGTTGGTGATTGTAAAGAAGATCATTACAACAAGGATGATAATGATGATGGCAGTTGTGATGATGATGATGATGTTGATGTAAATGTAAATGTAAATGTCGCGATTGAGAGGACAAACATACATGTCCTCTTTTTACATAGTTTTTTTGCAGTGGGCTCGGACATCAGCATACTAAGGGCGCCGATGGCAGCCGCTATCAGTCCATTTATGAGCCCACTGAACCCTCCCAACCCATGATGAGTGATGATGTAAGTGATGAAGATAGACCACAACACCGGGAACTACGTCCCCTACTCTTTTCGAATAGTGTGTGGGTTCTTTAATGTCCCACAGAGTTATATGTGAACAAGGTTTGTGAGTCAGGACCTCCGGTTTATCGTCCTTATCCGAGAAGACGTGAAAGTCTAATCATTTGCAGATGTCATTACAAAGACAGCACTTTCTCCTCAGTTATTTTTAAGACCCTGAGTGTTGGTCCAGCTTGGGTTCGAACTCGTGACCTCCCGCTAAGCAGACCGGCGCTCTCCCAACTGAGCTCCCAACTGATGGTGGTATTGGTGCTGATAAGGATGATGATCCCAGCAAAACAATAACAATAACCAAACCCCACCTGCTTCTGCTTCTAAGAATGGTGGTGTTCTTAATATTTCATCTTATATTTTTATAGGTGTTTCCTGTTTACATTGGTCAACTCTGAAGGTGTCCCTCCAAGCAAGTTTGATTTAGTGAGCCCAAAGTATGCCACCCTCCATCATCCAAGGTTTGTCGTCAGCGAGATTATATGGGTGGGGATGAATTTATTTTTGAATTCTCAAAATGAAACAAAAATGGACAATAAATAATAATTGAGTTTAATTCCCTGCACCAGCTGGTGACTAACTGTGCTATATATCCCCTATCAACACAGGACTAAATTGTAAACATGCGTTTCTAACTTTTGCTTCTGTGGATAAAGTCGACTGGTTAGAATATCAACTCTTTGTTAGCTCTGGGCTGTATCTAAAGAAAAATAAGACAGTTCGCAGTCCAGGAGAGATTACTAGAGTAATACCTCTTAATCCTCCTTCACAGTCGTGACTGCTGCTTGTATATGGAATATGAGAATGGATAGTCCTTCGGTGTTACTTTTTCCATAAAACCTCATCAATCTAGGGGTCATTTTAATAAAACTTTACAAGTGTAATTTACAATAGTGTAGCTATTGTTTTTAAACTCTAAAAAAATGGCTATACTTGTAAATAATACACTCATAAAAGTTTTTTTAAATGGACCTTAGTGTATTGAGTGCTAGTATTACTTTTGTATTTAGGCATCTTGCAATTTTAAATTTGAGTCCCAAGAGTGACCAAAGTCAATTTTCTCCTAAAAAAATTTCAATGATTAATATAGAGAAAATGTTCTGAGAAGTAATGAGATGATCACCTGATGGGAAAAGCATAGATCAGCAAACAATTAATTCTCTCAACCAAATTCTGTAGGGAAATGTATGGAGATCAATCTGGAGAATTTGTACTTGGATATTGGGGGTTAAAGGATTAAGAGTGATGTGTGCTTGTTTCTTTGTCGTAGGTATGGTCCCATGTTTGGTGCTGGTGCTGATCTGTGTATAAGTGATGAGTGCAATGAGAGGCCTGAGTCCTACTCTAACTTGCCTCACTCCTTTGATGGGCCCCAGGCCTCTACAAGCATTCTCATGGGGGACTACAATTTTACAGTAGAGGACTATGAAGTATTTGGTCTGAAGAAAGAATCATTATATGAGAGAGTATAACAGACTGAGAAGACAATCACTGTAAATAGCTTGATTATATGTTTGGGAGAAACTGCCCACCTACCCCTCCCCTAAGCCAACATTAACACTTACTTCTCACTAAGGGCAAAATGTTGGCTTAGGGGAGAGGTGGGTGGGTTGTTTTCCAGAAACGTGTAATGATGGAATAGCTCCAGTTGGTGTTACTGGGTACTTAAAGAAACTCTTAAGGGTGTTACAACCCGTTTTGAGTTAATTATTTTTTTAAAAAAATGTTAGTTTTGTTTTGTTTTCTATGAAAACAGACATGTTTACTGTGAGACTTCTCTATTACCATATTTATGGTAAACTTAGATTTTGAAATATAACCTACGAAGTTGGGAAAGACGAAACAGAGAGAAGTCAAGATAAGAATAACTTTCAATCACTTTACTATCTGTATAATTATTATTAAAGATTGATAACTTGGACGTTAATGGGTCATTTAAGAGTTTCCAAAACCCTCACCCTCAGAACGAGGCCAAGGTTGAAACCTTTCAGATCATATTATGGCAATGAGTTTCATTTTCATTCATTTTCATGACAACTGGAAATTGTTTTCAGAACACTTACTTTGCCTTGGCCCTGTACGGCGCCTTTCCAGGCCTTCTTGGTCAATGCATGTCGGACCAAGTTACCTGGGACGCATAAGCTGTGCAGAATAATAAGGCCTAGGGATTAGTCAAGCAGTCACCCTCGTTTTCAAAGATAGGCTTGGTGCAACTCAGAAACAGCTTATTGCTATCAGGCCAGGGCTGGCAGGCAAAGTTAACCATATCTCGGCAGTAGAAATCCACTGTACTAAAACCCTTTTTTCAACGGATAGTTTTCTCACTCATGTTATATTGAAACCGGTTAATGAACAATTTCACAGAGTGTGAAACGCGGCCGTGCAAAGTTAATGTCAGGCTACGAAAAAAGTGAATAGGTTGTTTGCTCGAACATCGGAAAAAGTTGTATAATAATCCACGTAATTACGCTAAGAACATTTTATGTCCAATAAATAAGTTGTAGGGAAACAACGTTTATATTCACGAAAAAAGAACGTTGTGCTCTGGGATTATTCTCAAGAAAAAATTCAAATCTTTTCTTTGTCATTTTGAAAAAATCGGGTAGGTCGAGCAATGAGAACAGACCTTACGGCCTTACAATAATTGCTTTAATTGCAGTTACCACTGCGACGATCGATCATATCTTTGATTTGAATTTGTATTTCCACATAAACTTCATTCTAAGCTGAAATAAGTGAACGTTTCTCCCTCAACAACGTTAGCAAGGTAATGCAGGGGGCGCAGCGTGAGATTTTGAAGGTGTACGCACGCGGGGAAAATGAACTCGAGTTGTGGTAGCGCCGAAGGCGGACCTATCTAGGGGGTTGTTGGGGCATGCCCCCCCGGAAACTTTTTAAATTTAGGGCCTTGGAAATGCCATTCCAGCCTTTTCCGCAGGACGTTTTCAGCAAATTAATACGCAGGAAAATGCAGAAGTTAGTTGTCTATTTTTACCCATCTCCAGTGTTGTCGGTAAAGTACATTGTTTACGCATGTGACGCCATCAGAATCATAGAATATTAAAATCATAAGAGAAATAATACCACAAACACACCAATATAGTGCGGAAAATGTATCAGTCATCCCGATCGATTTGATGATAAAAAAATTCTTTTTCATAGCCTGCGAAAACACCCGTTTCTCCTCGCTCTTCGTCGCTAAGGATGTTTCGCGAGGAGGAACGTCTGCGACTCAGCGACAGAAATTCCATACTGATGACGTAAAATCTGTCCAGAATCCGGTCAGAAGCGCTGACTGGTCGACGGAGCAGTTACATTGTTTTAGCCATTGTTTACAAATGACAGACAAAAGACAAAAGGCCAAAAAGGTCAAATGTAAACACGAAGAATCTCTAACAAAACAGTCAATATTTGTGGAATATAGTCTTCTCTAGAAGAAGCATTTGAGTTTTGCTGGAGCTCGTGGGCAGATCAACACAACACTTTACCAAAATCGACCAGAAGACATGCAAAATTAGACAAATTTATATTTGGAACCTCATGACTACCGGATTTATTATGTAAACATTGATTTGCGTCATCAGTATGGAATTTCTGTCTCTGAGTCGCAGACGTTCCTCCGCGCGAAACGTCCTCAGCGACGAAGAGCGAGGAGAAACGGATGTTTTCGCAGGCTATCTTTTTCAGGAAATAATTTTTTCCCATAATTTAGCTGTACATCCGGGTACGCACGGGCGTATATGGACGCTACGCTCTTGATCTTGGAAGTTTCCGAAGGGCCCTCATTTTCAAAACTGAATTTATCCGTCAGTCATTTATCCTTCTTGAGCGTATGGAATAATTTAATGATCAGTGATTTTAATTTAAAAATTCTGGGAAGAAAAATAAGAAAAGGAAAATGGAAGAAAAGAGGAAAAAATGGAAAGACCGTCCGTGAAAAACTGGGCGTCAGTGTACCCATAATTCTTAGAAGCACTAATTCGGCTACTTTCCGCCATCTTGGACGTAGAAATACAGACCTCAAGACGAAGTTGTGAAGATTTCACTGTTGTTTTACTGTGCTTTCCATCATGTTGTTGCGTCAGGCGTGTAGCACGTTAAGGATGGGTTTACTTCGCAGATCAATGGCTACTGCTGGTCGGCGGCCAGATACGCCACAAAGGATGGTGAGTCTGTATGTTTAACATAAATTCCATTCCTGTGAATATTAGCCTTATCCTTGGGAGCAACTACAGAATACAGGGCCATATTTTAAGGTCTTAAACAGAAGTGGCTCGGTGGCTCGCTAGTCACGACAAGTGTTTAAAGAACGAGAAAGATATAAGACATATAAGTATAAGACAGACATAGAAGTCGGCGGCTCGGTGGCTCTTCAGTCGAGGTTATATAGTTTAGTGGCTCGACGGCTCGGTGGCTCGTTAGTCGGGACTACCGAGCCACCGAGCCACCCCAACGAATATACCTAGAAAATTTGCCCTGTATTCTGTAGTTAAACTTTTTTCTTTGTTTTATTTTTCTGGTACTGTGCTATCAGTTTAGAAAAAATAAAGGTTAGGTGCTGCGATTTCCTCACAGAGTCAAATATGTATCGATCTAGACCGTTCCAGCACAGGTTTACCATCTGCCTTAGTTGAAATATTGATTTAATCTATTTACGACACCTTGCTGGGTCATAAGTAGATGCCCTGCAATATGCAGTCCTTCGAAGTTGTTTATTTATTTTGCTTGTGGGTATGGTAAAACCTCTAGTTGGAAAATTTTCACGCACAAGTGGAGATACGATGATAACGTTGAATTTAACCTGCATTAAACTTTAATTTGGTTATCCACAAATACAAGACTGTTATAGAGTTTTTTCACCGTAGGAAAGTTGAGGGCTGGCTCAGAAATTAGGGGGCAAATTTGTAAGGGTGTAATTCACTAGGGGGCAAACTCACTGATATTCTTAGAATTGGATTATAGTTCTGAAAAATCTTCAAGTTAAACTTTGATATGTTTCTTCCTCAGACACCTCTTCACCAAGCTGTCGCTTTCACAGCCATTTTCTGTGGAGTCCTTGGGCCCGGAGTTTTGCTCATGTTGACACGCGAGAAACCTATCAGCGAACATTGATGTGATGCCAAGGAATAGTTAGCGCATTGTGATGATGCCATTGATTGTGGGAAGAAAGTGTTATGGTCTTATGTGTTATTGACTGTTATTAAAATGTAAAGCTGTTTCCACAAAAGAAGAAGCTGTTAAGAAATCATTTTGTATAAATTTTGTAGTTTCTTTGTTATTTGTCTCACCTTTTCTTATTATTAAACCTCAGTTTTGCCTTCACAATAGGCTAATTTAGCAACAGAACGGGAACGTCAGTTGACGATGGCGCGCACAAATTAAACAACTGACTTGACCAATGGCAGAGCGTCAAATTGGCCACCGGAAGTCATGTTTAGTCCTTTCCGTGCGCTTTCCCGTCGTCAACTAACGTTCCCGTCCTGATGCTAAATCAGCCTATTGTAACAATAGAGTTTAAGCCTGACACCCATCAGACCTTTGCTAGTGTTTTCAATGTACTTGTGATTACAAAAGTGTCTTATAAAGGTTCTTATTACTTAAATTAAGGAAAGTAAAGGATTAGGTCCTATATTTTCAGGGATATCGCTAAGGAAAAGCTAAGCAGGCTTATTATCACTATTACAATACAGTCAATATCCAGCCACTGCTTATTCTTTTGGGATACAAACATAGTGTCCATAGCAGCAGGGAACCATAATAGTGGGGTGGGAAAAGAAAGGAAGAAATGATCGTTTATTATGGCGACAGTCAAACCTCCACTAATGCTACCTCTATACAGCGGCCATTTTTTTCGGTGGACAGTCTATACATTCACTCTTGTTTCAACCTCTCTACAAAGGCCACTCTTTTGGCGGACGGTCCATACATTCACTCTTGTTTCAACCTCTCTACAATGGCTACCTCTCTTCAACGGCCATTTGACTTTTTTGGCGGACAGTCCATACATTCACTCTTGTTGCAACCTCCCTATAACGGCCACCTCGCTACATAGCAACTTTCCTCTGCCCCCAAAGTGGCTGTTGTAGAGAGGTTCAACTGTATTAAATATTTAAAGATGCCCTTCATTGTCCATCAAGAAGAGATAAGTTGAAATGACGAAATGGTTATGTCTGGGCCAAAAAGGGTGTCAGTAAGTTTATAGTAGTGAGAGGGTTTGTACTTCCAGTCGGGCATATGTAATTTGTAATGTGAATTCAGCTAATGTGAATGTTAATGTAGTTATCTTCTTATTCACCCTCCTCAGGGCTTTTTAGGGTTAGCTCAGTTGGGAGGGCACTGGTCTGCCGAGTGGGAGAGCGTGGGTTCAAACCCCAGATGGACCAACTACAAGGGACTTTAAAAAACTAGTGAGATCATGTTGGCATTGATTTGAGACCTTGTCTCGGTTAAAATGATTGTGTTATTGGGCAGTGCTGTTAAGCCCTTGGCCTTCTCTCCTTCCTCCTTTCATTAGTCAAAATTGAATGGGACATAAGAGATCCCACACTACTGTTCGAAAAGAGTAGGGAAAGTTTCCCTGGTGGTATGGTCTACCTTTCAGGCATCATTCTTTTCATGAGCTATGGGTGGGTTACAGTAAGCTTATAAATGGACTTATAGCGACTGGTAGTGGTCCCTTGTATGCTGAAGTCCAAGCTTACTGTTAATGTGTTAATATGTGAAGAGAGTGCATCTTGTCCTCTAATCCACAACATTACATTACATTGCATTACAATAAATGTATTAACAACACTGGTTGGGTGGACTTGGCAGACTGCTTGTAGTTCAGTTTACATTATTTTAATAAGTCTATAATTTCTGTGACTTCAAAATGGAATTGATTTTTTCCAGCTTGTTTTGCGAAGACATTCTCTTTTCCGAAGTTCTACTAGATTATGTCATGAGCAAGTTTATAGCATAAACCATACCTATTTAATACTAAAAACGAAAGTTTCCTACATAATGAAAGCAAACTGAATGTTCTTCTGTCCCAGTTAAACAACCTGTGGGTCTTTGTGAGCATGGCTCAGATCTCTAGTTGGTGCCATAAGATCAAGAAAAGGAGATACCAAAAGTGACATAACAGCTGACACTTGAATTTAAATATCAGTGAAATCTTTGAATACGTTCTACTCAGTCCAACTAACTTACAATATTAATTTGACTAAGTACCCACCTTAATTAACTGGCCACCTTTAATGGCAGCTAGCCTTGAACCCCCACCCCCATTAACATATAAAATTAACAAATAAAAAAGACCTTCTGATATTATGAGATTGAAACTGACTTCAGGTAGGGATTCCCGTAAAGACTGACTTTTCTTAGTAATTTTAACAAACTTTCAATGAGCAGTTAAAATTTTGTTTAGCCTGCGAAAACAGCCATTTCTCATCATCAGTATGGAATTTCTGTTGCTTACTCGCAGATGTTCCTCCTTGCAAAACGTCCCCAGCAGCAAGGAGCGCGGAGAAACAGCTGTTTTCGCAGGCTAGATTTTGCTTTGGAACATGTTTTCATTACTATTATTATTATTAAAAACATCATAAGTGCCCAGCCTCAAATAAGCGCCCACTTTCAAGGACAAAAGTTTAAGAAACGCCCAGTGCCCTGTTGTTTGAACGCCCATTAGCACTAACCCTGGGATTAACTTTTAATCTGGGTTTCTCTTTCTTTTGTTCAAAGGCATTTTCTCGCAGAATTTTCTCTATTCCTTTTAGAGCATCCAATCATAAGGAATTAAGCTGAATTTGCTCTTTAAGCTTATATTTCTGAATTCAACATGTCATGTGCACTAAGTAATACTGGTTTTCCTCCACCCACCTTACCCTTGTCAAAAATCGTAGTATCCCGTGATCTCTTGCGTTCGTGCCTCGTTCCCGCTCACTGGCGGTAAAAGGAAATTAATAAGATGGCGGCTTCTGTGCTCGATGGTGAAAAACTTTGTGAGGTGTCAGGTAATGTTAGATGGTCCAGTATGGCACAAGCTCCAATGAGCATTCAAAGTGGATCGTTAGCTGTTTATAAGCTCAGTGATAGCTTTTACATTCATGCAAGAACGACAGCAAAAAGAGGAAAGGTAAGACGATGCATCTCGGCTATTTCTCATCGTATCTCTGTGTAGCCTTAACTTAAGCGTACCAACTCATTTACGAGGATTCTTATGTCGTTGACGCGAACCATTGGCGTACAGTAAAACCTTCTTAGTAAGAACACCAAAGGGATGGAGCCAAATTTTCGCTTTAATAAGATTTCCGTATGATAGAACTAATATTACTTTTTGAAGTTTGGCATCTCTACTGGGACTAATCAAAAGAGCTTTCCCCTAATTAAGAGGAGATTCGACTGTACTTGATTTAGCATTTTGTTAGAACATTATGTTCTTGAAGGCGTAATTTCATTCTTAACTTTATGTTTGAAAACATCGGACAATCTGGACAATGTATCTCTATGAATGCAAGGCATACGCATTGCATTCTAATCAAATTTGCCAACACATGTACAGAATACCGTAACTTAACCTTTCCTCATTTAGTTTATGCTCTTACAAGGATATAAGTAAATTACATTTTAGGCTTGTAATAGATTGAGATAACGTATCATTATACATTTTGGGTCATGTAGCAGCTGCTCGTAAGAGAAGTCACCAATAGTGCCTAACCCTGACCCCAAACAATTCTAAAATAATTGAGAGAATGACCTGTCATTGTTTACTGTGACCAATTAGAAAAGACCTCACAAGCAGCTCCTGCATTACTCTACATTTCTGTGAAACTACCTACCTACCCCTTCCCAAATGTATAATGTGGGAAACTACCCACCTACCCCTCCCCTTAGCCAACATTAACACTTACTTTTCACTTAGGGCAAAAATGTTGCCTTAGGGGAGGGGTATGTGGGCATTTTCTCAGAAACGTATGATGATCCGAGGTAACAAGGAACAGGCAAATGTAGACAGGAGGTCTGTATTTGATCTGTATAATACATTTATTCTTTAGGTAATACAAAAGCCAAATCCAATGATATTCAAAACATTCTTACATGTACCTCAATCAATGTTCCTGTTTCTTGACAAATTCAAGATATAAAGGGGTATTTTGTCTAGTGGATATTCTTCAAAATTAGGATCAGTTGTCATCTATCAAGTTGTATTCTTACTGCTGGTACAGCTGAGGGAATGTAACCTTGTTCCCAGGGTTTCTGGTTGCTGTCCCCTTTTTGGTGATCTTTATTCTGTACTATCGATGCCATCCAAATTTGGTCAACATCAGCTAGTTAAGAAGGAATGTCAGTCATTTCGCTAACAGTTCGTTTTGCCAACACTGAGGTTGATTATCCCACATGATCTTAAGATCTGAGATGGGTTTTGTGATTTATTTTGCTATTTGCTCAGCCAATTAACTTGCGTGAACAGATCCATGATCAAGTTAGTATTACACAAATTGTTGCGTGAATTGCTTTTAAGGTTTAAATTAAACATTTAGGTTTTTGAATAAAATATTTCAAGAAACAACATCTCCGTTTACTGATTATTTACAACCTGTTTACACTCCAAGTCTACTACTAAGAAGGTCACCGAGGTGGCATTTTTTGAAGTGACAACTTTAAGAAGTCATGTGGTTGTCCAAAGGATAATATTTAAAATTAGTTTAAACATGCCAGAGTCATCGGTAATCTTTACTTCTATTTAATTTTTATACAAAACTACTACTTGTATAAACTTAGTGTTGCTGAAACAACTTTAACATGTCCTCATGAGATATATTGATCACTCCACCCTTCCCCTCGAGGAGGAAAAAAGAGGATCTGTCTGAATCACTTCCTAAGCCTCAGAAGTGGCTACAGCCTGAATTTCTGGACTAGTCGATCTTGTTTTCTTTTGTCAAACTGATTTTTTAAGTGCAAGCATCCGTCTATTGATAAAACCATGTCATAACTGATCCCGCTTTACCAATGCAATTAGCAGGGGATGCTCAACAAAGATCTTACTCAATTCATGCAATCTCTCTGAAATACACCAAAATTGAAGAAGCGAAAGAAAGACTCTGCTAGCAGGCTGTGATCAATCCAGCACAGCAAATGAAACTATTTGAATGCTACAGTCAGGGGCACCCAACGAAGATATAGTTCAAAACCACTTAACATAGCATTGTTGAACGTATTTTAGTATTTAAACGGTAGATATAGGCATATTTTTATCCCCTAAAAATTTTTCATCTGTTCGGATTTCCCAGCTGAAAGTCTAGTGATCCGAAAATTATAAGGATCAAAACTTACCTTTTCGAAAATTTCAGCCAGGAAAAGACTCCCAAAAATTCTAGGTGGCCTTTTTTAGGGTAAATATCCGTTTAAAATGGGTAATTATACCATTTTGTAGATGTTCGAAAATCCTAGGAGAGGCAGGCAAGCAAGAAATTTTACAACAAATGTTCCGAAAATTCTAGTTCTCAATTCGTCTTCCGAACAGATATTTTCCCGAAAACTGCCGTTGGGTGCCCCTGTACAGTATTTAATAATATTTTTACAGTCCCTTTGGCACTTCATTTCATTAGTGTTACTAGGGAATGACTGCTTATATAAACAATCAAACAAGTGGTTTGTTTTTTTTTTGTCTTTCATGTCAGTTCCTTTTGAAAGCCAACAAATTTGGTGTGGTCACCCGTGATTCCAAATTAACTTTGTCATTAGATACAGACAGCAAAGCTTCAGTGTCTATAAACATGAAAGATGCCAATCCAAGTCAGCTGAGGGTGTTTCTAGATTCTCTGAATGGCATTATGGCCTATCACTCTTCATTGAAAGGTAAGATACATTAAATTCAGTCCCCGTGTAAAGATAATGTAAATAATTGTGTGCATTTTGAACTGCCATAGTGATGATATTGGCCACCTGTAATGCGCCAATCACCATTTTATCTGGTAACTTTATAGCCAATAACATAACGGCTTAACTGAAAGATAACCAATAAAATTTTGAATGACTGGAGTTTAATACCATTAACTGATATTGTGCAACTCACTTTGACTCTGAAGATGACCACCGCACAGGTTGTTGAAATTTCAGCCACTTTCAATTATAACAGTCCCATTCAGGACTACGCTCACCCGGACAATCATATTCCACCTGTTTATGAATGAATCCTGGGCAAAACCTTTCAATATAATGACAACACTTGGCAGTCACTGACAGTGACTGTGGATTGACTGTTCAAACTTGAAATATAAAAAAACAAAAAACAAAAAAAACAAGCATTTAAATATTAAATTTGTTTACCTCTGTGATGATATCCACAGGCAAGTTATCTTCGTCCTCATCTAAAGAAAATAAAGTACATGATATTGAGGTGAGTGATACATGTAGATTTCTTAACTAACGGATTATTGTGCTTGTCTTCGTGCATGTGCATGCAAGCCCAGAGCACAGTGTACATAGCATACATGCCATACTTTGTAATCTTTTTTTTAGGCAGCACTCTAGTATTTCCAAAACCAAATGAAAATTTAGAATAATTATGTATGGCAGTGCACTGTTCATCTGAAATCTGCTGCTGGATATCCCCCTTTTTCATGTTTTTTCACAGACTGGTAACTGTTGGCAACAGTTACCAGCGCCGTACAAACGACCAGAGTATAATACCATCAACTGACGTGATACAACTCACTTTGACTCTGAAGATGACTACCGCACAGGTTGTTGAAACGTCAGTCACTGTCAACAACAACAGTCCTATTCAGGACTACGTTCACCCGGACGATCAAACTCAACCTACTTTTGAAATGACTCCTGGGTTCAAAACTTTCACAATAAAATAAATATTAACGTGCAGTTTGGTGGTCGATTGGTTCAGACACCCCCCATTAAAAAATACTGGATCCGCCCCATGAAGCTATAATCATACATGTATGTGAACTATACATGTATGATATTCTTAATTTTTTAGACATCTTTTTGCTTTTAGAACCAGCCATGTAATACCTTGAACTCCAGTGGCTCAGCTCCAGGAGTTTTAACTCACAAATTACCTCCAAGAAGCAAGCCTGTGTCCTCTTCACCATGCAGTCCACAGAAGTAAGTTTGTTACAACATTAATTTTGGTTCTCACCTTTTTAGAGGGAAAATCCATTTTTTTTATTCCAAAAAGCAAGAATTTTGCTGAATATGTCCCGTGTAGGACTATGAAAAAGCTAGTGAAGTCCCCATGGTTTTTGCAATAGGTATCCCTGTTCTCTTGTAATCCTCCTGACTCCACCTTTTGGGATATGAGATTTGCAATTAGTCTCTCCTATAATCTACCATGAAATCCACTTATGTAACCCAGTTGGATTGTTTTTAAACAAATATACACTCAAATAATCAACACCACTGTAGAGCAAAGTGGTGCACATGATACAGGTTAAAATTAAATTCAGGTTAAAAGTTTTTAACCTAGGGTGATTCTAAATAAATTATTTCCTTTGTCTCCTAGCCCTAATTATTCATGAATAACCTGAATTTAATTTTGCCCTGTAACACCCTTGCAGCAAATCATAATGTACAATACAATACAGTAATTACCTCTCCCAAGGGGGCTATTCTGAGATAATTTACAAAGAAATAATTAACTAGGAGTAATCGGAGCTTAGGAGAGTGAGTTTGATATGTTTGCTAGGCGTACAGGTAGCAGTTGAGGGGAAAGGGTGGATGGTTCTTGCGATAGACAACTATGATTATGGCATATTTTGAACGTAAGGGTTGCGTACAGCGAAACCTCGATTTAAACTGTGCATGATAATGAAAAGGTTTTGAAGGCTAGTGATCAGCGTGATGAGGGAGGGAAAGAAACACAGTGAGTATTGGGTGAGAAACCTTGCTGGAATTGAACTTGCAGCCTTTTAAAAATGGGCTTATTGAGAGAGTGCACATAGTTGACAGGTGCACTTGATTGGCACATGCCAAGTACAAATTTGCAAGAGAAAGCAGACCCCATTGTGATAGGAGACTCAACTGGCCTTAGAATTCTAGCAATAAGAATGGGTTTACGCTGGCTGAGGAGTGAATGAAGCAGAACATGTTTTTCTCACACTCAGCTGTGAGTATTGGTTTGAGTGTATGGAGGGGCTTTGGGTCTCATTTGGTGTGTCAGAGTTCTTTCTTTTTTTTTGCCGTCCACCATTGCCTATCCTGTCCCGCCCACCCACCCTTGATGTGTTTTTTGAGTAGCTCTGGTTGTTATTGTATATAGTCTCAGTTTCTTGTCTGCCATTTTTAGCTCGTTTGTGCTGTAATACTAGCGATTTATGGTGTTGATATTTGTGGTGTGAGAACCATAATATTTTATTCTGAAATTAATGCCTGTTACATCTTGGGTAATGTAAGGTTCCTCCATGACATTAATTTTTTTCTGTTTTGTTTTTTAGCAGGATGACACCAAACAGACCATCCAACTACTTTGCAAAACAAATGAATCCACCTTCTTCCTCCTACAATTCTCAGAATAAAAAAACACCATTCTTTGATCAAACAAGAGCAAGAGGTTAGTGATGAAAATTGAACAGTAACTTGATACATGTACATAGAGATATAGAGTCAGAAATTAACTTTTTTCTATGGGCACCATCTGGCGACTGGAAAAAAAATTTTTAGTCACCAGATAGCAAAAATTAGTTGGCAAAAATCTTTTCCTTGCCAATAACACATGAAAAAAAACAAATGTTTTGGACATTTTCAGCTCATTTCCTTAACTGTTATCCTCCAATTATTATTTTACAAAGAAGGTACCTTGTTGACAGGGTGACATTTGAAATTGTGGTCGTCAGCTCTCAATTTTAAGGTGCATTGGTGTCCAGCTAGTCACAATTTCGGACCCTGAGTATATTATAGAAAGATGGGTTATTAAAAGGCTGTACATACATTGGTTTTATGACTTCCAGTAATTCAAAGCCATTGACTCTACAATGTACATAACTAATAATTCAGCCACTGGCTTCTTTTGCATTGACTTCACATCAAAGCTTACAAATATTTTCTTAGACCACTGCTTGCTTATCCTTATGTCTTTTTCCTTACTCAGGGTTCTCATTAAGTGGCGACAGCCAGCTAAAAAACCAACCACTCGGAGGTTTGAGCCATCTACTTTTTGGGGAAATAGGCTAAAATGAGAGAGTGATAGCTTGAAATTGCCTACAGCACTCAGTTACCAAACTGCCTACTTTTTGTATCCTAGCTGTCTACTTTAAAAATTAATGAGAACCCTGCTTACGGTATGTGAATAAAGAAAATTAAAGCATTGGATGCTCATGAACACTTCTCCTTAAATAGTTTGGCAACATCCACACCCTTGTTCAAATTAAAATATAAAAAAAAAACAAGCATTTAAATATTAAATTTGTTTACCTCTGTGATGATATCCGCAGGCAAGTTATCTTCATCCTCATCTAAGGAAAATAACATACAAGATATTGAGGTGGGTGATGCATGTAGAATTCTTAATTAACCAACTATTGTGCTCTCGTCTTTGTACATGTGCCTGCAAGCCTGAAGCACAGTGCACACAGCATACATGCCGTACTTTGTATCCTTTATTTTAGGCACCACTCTAGTATTTCCAAAACCAAATTAAAATTTAGAATAATTATGTACAGCAGTGCACTGTTCATCTGAAATCTGCTGCTGAATATCCCCCTTCTTCATGTTTTTTTTCACAGACTCAATTTATTTATCTTGTTTATCATGATTTGATTTTTCATCTGAAAGCATTTCTCTACCATTTGATATTTAAACCACACACAACTGACAATCCCTTGACCTTTAAAATGTTTGTTCTTGTACATTGTAGAGGCTTGGTACAATGTAATGAATTTTACAATAGAATGTGATTAGTCTTCTTATCTAGCTTTCTTTTGAACAGGGTGTTTCTAAATAATAATTGTTATTGTTTTGTAAATCAGGCTTTGCATTGTCTGTGATGCAGCAAAGCATTGTCAAACAAAGTGCATAAACATTTGGCTTAGTTGGCCTTTCATACCTGTGGCTTGAAGCAGGAGCGGATCCAAGTGGGGTGGATTGGGTGGCTAGCCACCCCCCTTTTGGACAGCCCACCAAAAAAAATTTATACATTAAAAACAAACAGAAATATGTGGGTCCCAAAAAATATAGAAATGCATGCAATCGCCTTGCATACAAAACGCAGAACCATTGATAGAAGTGTGGTTTGTGAGAAATTTGTGATGCTGAATGATGGCATCTTCACTTTTCGCCCACTACATGTAAGTTATTTTTTCTATTTTGTGGCTTTTCAAGAGTTTGCAGCGATACTGTCTCCAATTCATCCTTTCTGAATCACCATGTTTTGGGACAAACGTTGGACAACATAAAATAAATTAATGCGTAGTTTGGTGGCCAATTGGTATCAGACACCCCCCATTAAAAAATCCTGGATCCGCCCATGAAGCTATAATCATACATGTATGTGAACTATACATGTACGATATTGTTAATTTTTTAGACATCTTTTTGCTTTTAGAACCAGCCATGTAATACCTTGAACTCCAGTAGCTCAGCTCCCGCAGTTTTAACTCACGAATTACCTCCAAGAAGCAAGATTGTGTCCTCCTCACCGCCCAGTCCACGGAAGTAAGTTTATTACAACATTAATTTTTGTTGTCACCTTTTTAGGGGGAAAATCCGGTTTTTTTAATCCAAAAAGTAAGAATTTTGCTGAATATGTCCCGTGTAGGACTATGAAAGAGCTAGTGAAGTCTCCATGGTTTTTGTAATAGGTATCCCTGTTCTCTTGTAATCTTCCTGACTCCACCTTTTGAGATATGAGATTTGTAATTAGTCTCCTATACCCTGTCATGAAATCCACTTTATGTAACTCCGTTGGATTGTTTTTAAACAAATATATACTCAAATATTCAACACCACTATAGAGCAAAGTAGTGCACATGTTACAGGTCAAAATTAATTTCAGGTTAAAACTTTTTAACCTAGGTTGATTCTCAATAAATTAATTATTTCCTTTGTCTCCCAGCCCTAATTCATGAATAACCTGAATTTAATTTTGCCCTGTAACACCCTTGCAGCAAATCATAATGTCACTGGTTTGTTGCCTTGCTGCAAGGAAGAGAAAAAAAAATTTTTCTTGTCGAAGATGGTAAACAGGAGGTTAAAACTGCTAAATGAAGATTACAGTGGTTTGAGATTTGAAGTAAGTTTTCCCTCTCTATAAGATGAGCAGAATCTGTTTCATGGTATAATACAACACAGTAACTATAATTATTACCTCACCTGAGGGGGCTATTCTGAGATAATTTACAAAGGAATATTAGTTAAATTTTACATCATCACCCTGCTGAGGGAGGGAAAGAAATACAGTGAGTATTGGGTGGGAAACCTTGCTGGAACTGAACTTGCAGCCTTTTAAAAGTGGGCTTATTGAGAGAGTGCACATAGTTAACAGGTGCACTTGATTGGCATGCGCCAAGTACAAATTTGCAAGAGAAAGCAGATCCCATTGTGACAGGAGACTCAACTAGCCTTGGATTTCTAGCAATAAGCATGGGTTTACACTGACTGAGGAGCAAATGAAGCAGAAAATGTTTTTCTTACACTCAGCTGGGAGTATGGGTTTGAGTGTATGGAAGGGCTTTGGGTCACATGGTGTTTCAGAGTTCTTTTGTTTTTTTTTTGCCATCCACCATTGCCTATCCTGTGCAGCCCACCCACCCTTCATGTGTTTTTTGGGCAGCTGTGGTTGTTATTGTATCTAGTCTCAGTTTCTTGACAGTCATTTTTATAGCTCCTTTGTGCTGTAATACCAGTGATTTATGGTGCTGATATTTGTAGTGTGAGAACCATAATTTTATTCTAAAAAAACAATACCCATTACATCTTGGGTAATGTAAGGTTCCTCCATAACATTATATTTTTCTGTTTTGTTTTTTAGCAGGATGACACCAAACAGACCATCCAACTACTTTGCAAAACAAATGAATCCACCTTCTTCTTCTTACAATTCTCAGAATAAAAAAACACCATTCTTTGATCAGACAAGAGCAAGAGGTTAGTGCTGAAAATTGAATAATAATAATAATAATAATAATAATCTGCACATGATACATGTCTACTAGATAGAGATATAGAGTTGGACATTAAATTTTTTCTATGGGGCACCATCTGACAACTAGATAAAAATGTTTGGTCACCAGATAGCAAAAATTAGGTGGCAAAAATCTCTTCCTTGCCTTTAACACATGAAAAACAGCGAATGTTTTGGACATTTTCAGCTCATTTTCATTAACTGTTATCCTTAGCTAATTATTTACAAAGAAGCTACCATGTTGACTGGGTGGCATTTGAAATCCTGGTTGTCAGCTGTTGATGTTTAGTTGCATTGGTGTCCAGCTAGTCACAATTTCGGACCCTGAGTATATTACAGGAAGATGGTTTATTAAAAGGCTGTACATACATTGTTCATTTGTCAGTAATGTAAAAAGGCAATGAGTTGTCTAAGGAGGTTGAAAGTGGAACTTGTCAGTAACTTTTTGTAGGTTGTTCTTTAATTATTATCGGTTTTATTGTACATGTAGATAACCTTAGCAACACGTCTAGTAGTGGCAAATCTGCATCATCATTCTATGGTCGTAATTCTGGTAATTCTGGCTTGTTTTCCTTTGAAAGGTTAGTATTGTTTATTTTATTTCTCTTGAAAATATATCTTGGTAGGAGGAAATTGATGTCAGTCACTCTTGGAAATTTAAGGGTCAAGTGTCTTTTTGCCGGCACAACAAGCATTGTGCAATGCAGGATTTGTTTGTTGTGATATAATTAGTGTTCCTTGTTAATGTAAGAGACACAAAGCCGTCCATATTTTCTGTGGAAAATTATGGTATTGTGTTTTGTGTCATGAAACTAGAAAAAGAATTAATGTTGCTCAAACTATTGGAGAAACATACAGGAAAACAGAACATTGCTGAAAAAAGGAATGGAATTTTTTATTTATACTAAAAGGCAGTAGTGCTCATAATTTATTGCAAAATATGGCATGTATCAGTATATAAATACCTATGTAGGTAGGATCCTAGGCAGGACAGTCAAGAACCTCGGTGGGGCAGTCAGGTGCCTGTGTGGGACAGCATGAAGCCTGTGTGGGACAGTGGAGAGCCTGAGTGGGGCAGTAGGGAGCCTGGATGGAGAAGTTGGATAGTGGGAAGCCTGTGTAGGACAGCCCTGGGTGGAGAAGTTGGAAGCCTGTGTGGGACAGTGGGGAGCTTGGGTGGGGCAGTGGGGAGCCTGGATGGAGAAGTTGAATAGTGGGAAGCCTGTGTGGGACAGCCCTGGGTGGAGAAGTTGGAAGCCTGTGTGGGACAGTGGGGAGCTTGGGTGGGGCAGTGGGGAGCCTGGATGGAGAAGTTGAATAGTGGGAAGCCTGTGTGGGACAGCCCTGGGTGGAGAAGTTGGAAGCCTGTGTGGGACAGTGGGGAGCCTGCATGGGACAGTAAGAAGCCTGGGTAGAGAAGGTGGAAGCCTAGTTGGGACAGTCTCTGGTTGCTGGGTGGGACAGTGGGGAGCCTTAGTAGGGCAGTCAAAGGCCTGTGTGGAACAGTTGGGAGCCTGGGTGGGGTAGTGGGGAGCTGCGTTGGACAATGGAGAGCCTGGTTGGGGCAGTAGACGACCTGTGTAGAACAGTTGGGAGCCTTGGGAAGACATTGTTGATCTTGTGTGGTATAGTCAGGATCCTGAGTGTGGCTGTTGGGATCCCAGATGGGACAGGTGGTGTGATTTGCCAGGAAATACCAACCATCTCCCTTACCACACATTATGATTCATTGTAATGTTTTTATTTTATTATTTTTTTCAACCGCAGGAAAAGTTCAGGTACCTTGGGTCCAGGCTTGATGCCTCCACCTCGTTTGTCAAGTGCAATTACCTTCAGGTCTCGTGATAAGCGACCTTTTGAAAAGGAAGTCACCTTAACAGGGTAAAGAATTAATTTATTTCTACTTGTAATAATTATTATTATAGATGTAGAAAATCAACACTGTCTTTTTAAGCAGTGGACATAAGGCTTTTAGAAACCAGGGCAGTTGCATTATAGTAATAAAGTTGTAGATTTCATATTGTTCTCATTTTTGTAATAATATTTTATTATATTTTCTGTGTACAAGTTTTTCAATCCTACTTTCATGTTTTTCAAATACGTGTACACTAGTTTGCGTCCTATCCATAATTCCCCTCAAAGGGTTATTTGGCTTAAACCCCTTAACCCTTGACAAATTTTGGCCATTTAAGAATGTTAACTCCCATACCCACAATGCCTCTTTCCCCATTGGAGGTTAAATTTATCTACTTTTGATATAGAGAGGTTTGAGACATTCACATTTAAACGACCTTTAACTGTCCATTTGGATCAGGGTCCCTTGTGCTGCATGAAACATCATCAGTTTCAAATATTATAGACAACTTTGATGACTGACTTGTGCAGGGGGGAGAGATCAGAGAAAAATGAAACAGACCAGAGAGAAATGCAAAGAAAAAAAACATGATAATTTGAACACTTTCTACCTGTACTTCCTTCAAATTATTTTGATGTCATAATCCTCATTGTTCCTTGAAAACTTTTCCAACTGAAATATATAGTAGAAGAGAAGCAAGAAATTGCAAGGAGAAAAGTCTTACCTTTGTCCCATCACCAAAGCAGGCATTCTTTCTGTGGGGTGATTTGACTGTGGAATTGATCTAGACAACATTAAGAAAGTGATAAAGTTTCTGATAATGTTTTGTGTCAAGTGAATAAAAAAGCAAATAATAAATTTGTTTTATTCTTTTAAGTTTTTCTAATTTGGGGAACACTTGCTACATGAATGCCATTCTACAATCCCTTTTGGGAGTTCCACCATTCGTTCAAGATCTTTCAAACAAAGCTTTGTTAGACCGAGTTCATCCACATTGTCTCTACCGGTGAGTACAGATTCTCCTTCTATGAATTTAACTTTCTCATGCTAGGTGAAAAAAATATATATATTATTACAGGGTTCGCATGCACCTTGAATGTCCTTGCATTTTAAAATAGAAATTTAAAGCCTTGAAAGTCCTGAAAATTGCACTCAGTGCTGGAAAGTCCTTGAATTTCAATGCTAACTGTATAGTTTTGAGTAGAACTCCGAAGGAAAAGAAACAAACACAGAAAGACGCTCAGGGTAAAATTATTCATGTTGTGAAGAACTAAAAAAGACATAGACTCAAGGCTCTTTTTTGCACTGAAAGGAGTCCTCAAAAAATGGGAAATGTGTTCTTGAAAGGCCTTGAAAAGTCCTTGAATTTTTTGTTCAAAAAGGATACGAACCCTGTAATTATTATTATGTCAAGTTTAATTTTATTAAAAATTTAAGTTTGAATTCCTAGTCATATAGTAGCTTAAGCATTGTCAGCATTGTCAAGCTTGTCTTTGACATTTTGAAGAACAAACCTGATGGGTATTCATTCATTACTCATGACCACCTACCCCTCCCCTAAGTCAACATAAACACTTACTTCTCACTTATGATCACCCACCAGAGATGAAAGGCCTGGTTTACTTTCTTTTTTTCTCTGTATGGGGAGAATAGAAAAACATATATTATTTTTACCACTTGTGATTGTAAGTGTTCAGTTTTAAGGAGGCACTGTAAATCATAATTTTTGATGATTAAAAAACAGAAAGTGAAGAAGACAATCAGAACAATTAGAACATCATAATTCAAAAACACTCCTATAGGATTTACTTCAAATCTTGTCAAGGCAAGGACAATGGTCTAAACTACAGTGTATTAGCAACGTAAAGGATTTTAACAGATTATTGCTAGATTTCAAGAAAATTCCCAATTAATTTTGTAGATTTCATGTCATCATTATTCTGTTGCTATGGAAGTGGCAATGTCAACAAAGCATACTCTAAAATTAAGTCCAACGTCAGAAATGTTGTTTCACTGTGTGGCTTTTTTGTACATGCATTAAAGCCAAAGTTATGAAGCATCAAACACGAAAGGGGTGAGACCTTGAAGAATGGGTGCAAGCTTCCTTAATGATTTCATTCCATCATGCTTCCAGATGTCTGTATAATGTGATGATGTGCAAAAGGAGAAGTGGAAATGCAGAAGCACTGAAAAATAGCTTGAGAAAACTAAAGCGAACCATCTCAGAAGCAGCAACACGTTTCTCAGGATATCATCAGCATGTAAGAGAACCTCAAGTTCCTTATGCCATCATCCTTCTTGTCCTCCTGTTGTATGTATTGAAGGTCAAAATTAAATTCAGGTTAAAATTTTTCAACCTACATGTAGGTTGGTTCTCAATTTCCTTTTACTCCTAGCCTTGATTATTCATTAATTAGGGTTAGGAGACAAAGGTAATGAAGAATTAGCCTAGGTTAAAAAATTTTAACCTGAATTTTGACCTGAAACGTAATTATGTACTACATATATGTTACAGGTCAAATTTATTTTTAGGTTATTTTTGTTTTAACCCAGTTTGTTTTTTAATGAGTAAACTAAACTCATGGGTTGGATTCAATCTGCCATTTTTGTGTGAGAGTGATCGCAAGAAGAGAAAAACGTAGTTCCATTTACGCATGAGCAGATTATTATGTGTAGCCAAACACAGTTGGATGACATTACGTTTTATGCTTAAGTAGACCATTATTTGTAGACAGTTATTTGCAGATCACGTGGTGGGATCTTGGCCAATGAAGAGGAAGAAAAATTTGCATCAAATGATAATTAAATTTAGTGGTGCATGTCATTTCTCAAGGTAAAACCAGACAACCAGGGTGAAAGAGTTAAATTATTAAGAAGACAGCATTTTACAAAATTAATAATAATTTTTTTCCGCAAATAATTGTCATGTAAACTTTAATTTAGAAGGTTCAAGAACATTTATATTAATACTATGACTTGGTACATGACCATAGAATACAGGTGACCAAGTTGTTGGGTACTTCTGATGCAATGTTAGTGTTGTCAAAAAGTTTTTCTACTCACCATATCATGATGTCTAAAACAGTTGCAGCGTGGAGCAATGAGGATGCTAGCAATAACAAGGCTTGATGGTTACGTTTTTTTGTTTAGGATGCCCATGAGTTCTTGTGCCAAGTTTTTGATCAACTGAGAGATGATGTAGACACCTGCAATTCCCCGTCATCTAAAGCCACATCTAAAGAAGGCAGTGGCATGGTAAATACCTTTTATTATTGTTGGTAATGTAAAATAATATTTTGTCATTCCCCATTTGTGCATCTCCCAAATTGACCTTGTTTGCCCCCAACCCCCCAAAATTTAATAATAAGTAAATAAAAACTTTTGCATTAGCATTGTCCTCAATTTTCTCCTGGGGCAACTACAATATCCAGGAGAAATTAAAAAAAAAAGGTTATCCAAAATTTTGGGGAGCAAACAAGGTGCATTATGGTAGACGTGCAAATGGCAAATGTGGGTTTTGTGTTTTATATAATATGACAATGGGTGACCCTAACCCATGAAGCCCAAATGATCTTAACTTAACCTGGGCTCTTGGGTTCTGCAGCATGAAACAGCTAGGAGTATTGCTACCTCCTCCCCCCTCCCCCTTCCCCCGCCTGGATGAGACCCCAGTCCATCTTGGGGTTTAATATACTTATGAGCAGTATTTTCAGTGATGTACTTCAAATAGTAATAGCCAGTGCATGTACTCGGTGTCACCTGAAGAGTTATTACACTAACTAGGACATCTAATAAATTTTCTTTAGGTGGCAGACACACAGTGTCCTGTAACAAGGTCATTTGAAAGTGCTGTCCTTCATACAGTTAGCTGTAAACAGTAAGTACAAAAACCAGGGACTTCATGTGCTTCCATATGAATAGAGACCCTCAGCTGTCACAGTCTTTTGGTTCCTCTCTTTATCTCATGCATTTGAGACCAGAATTATTGCCTTTTTATAACTTTATTAAATAATCATCATTTCAGTTTAAGAAATTTTTAATTACTATATCGTAGCCAATTTATAATCTTATTAGTTAAATTTTAAATTTTATATTTCAGTGTTTGCCATAATTGTACCCGTGGGCTGTCTATAAAATTAGCTGCATGGCTAAGCATAATAAAATTGTCCTTTGCCCTACTAATATTTTGTACTTGTGTATTTCTGTTGAATTTGTTATCCATGTTTTTTTAACAGACAAAATTCTTTTACTACCAACAGTACAAAATCCTGTTCAATCAATACAGGGCTTGCAAAATTCTTTAATGATAGCTTATCCGTTAGATAAGCAGCCAGCTCTTCAATTTGGCTTGTGAAGTTCCATGCTAAGACTTACTTCACTAGTTTATGTTGCATTCAGAGTGTAGCATTTTGTCTGCACTCTTATGTATTGGACAAGTAAGCAAGAAACATTTCTTGCCTAACAGGAAGGCTTTGCTAAGGCAAGCCTTCCCTGATAAAAAAGAATAACCTGGCACCTTTTTCTTCAAAACTGGATGGCAGGTCAGTGACCACTGCCTTTAAAAAAAAGAGCAGAGTGGGTTCTGTTTTTGCTGTTAGTAATTCAAGAATTTTTCCATTATCCCATTACAATGTTCCAACAAAATAATCTTTATTCTAATTTTATATGTTTTAATATCATTATAGATGTGGGGAGTCAGCCCTAAAAGAAGAAATATATCATGCATTTTCCCTTGATATTCCAACCTTGTAAGTAAACAGTGTATATGAAGTTAGCTTGATTGTCTTGATTGTACATGTAACAGGGCTTTTATTACGCGATGTGCATCACAATGCTACTCTAAAAGTCACTTTTCCACATTTCATGCTAAATCATCACTTGTGCCTTTATTGAACTGGGCCCCTCATTATAAACAAAAGGAAAAACCTAAACAGAAGTTTTGACTTTTTCAAAACACATAGACATACCTTCCTTTAGCCATCCTGTTGGTCACCTGGGTAGGGTAGGGTAGGGTTGGGAAGGTAGGGTAGGGTAGGTAACATTTGCCAGGGTAGTGTTGGTAGGGTAGTGTAAAATAAGGTCAACTAGTGTCAGATCAGTGAAATTGGTTAACCCTTTAACTGGCCAATTTTGGGGGGAAATTTGATCACTGCAGCTATGTTGTGAAAAAATGCTGACAGCTTCTATACTATAACTCCCAGGGCCATAAACTATATATCAAAATGTTCATCATCGAATGCTCCTCTAACCACAGCAATAAAATGTAAAACAAGTTTATTGTGAATACTTTACCATATTGCTTCCAATTTCGATGCTCAAAGGCCACTTGACTTCCAAAGTTGCTTCATCCTATTGAGTCAATTGCTGTTACGAGTTATTAGAACTTGTTTTTCTTTGCTCGAAGATTTACCTTCAGAATAGCAAGTTTTGATCCATGTTAAAGGTCAATTGAAGATAGTCACGCCCAGTACAATTCCTTAAAGCTCCACAGATGAAACCTGAAAATCACTGTAATTTATAATATCCATTTCCACAATATTATTAATTACTTATTATTAATTTTGTCTAATTATTGCTTTTCTATGCAGATTACCAGATAGCTCTTCTTTAACTACAATCAATTTGCAAACCTTGTTGGCAAAGTATTTTAAGGTGCAGTCACTGAACTTGATGCTTATTATTTGTCAACTTTCTTTATTTCATAAACATTTACAGTACACAACTGTCCAAGTTAAAGTTTTTGCTTGGTTGCCACTTGGTGACTAATTCTGTTGGTTTAGGGAGACTTTTTTACAAATCAAGTCGCAAGTTTCAAAATTTTAGGTGCTATGGCGACTAAAATAATTGCAACTTGGAGGGTTGAGTACAGTAAGTTTAAAACTGTATTTAGTGGAACAGGTTGCCCTAAGGGGTGCAGGGGTGAGAGGGGGGGAGCACCTAATGGACGTTTGGGTGGTAGAGTGCTGGTTAGCCAGTTAGGGCTTCACAGCCTCGCCCTTTTAAAGGCGAAAACTGTTCATTTGGCTACCCTGTTAAAGATGAGACCTTTTTCAATGACCCTATTTGGTTTCATTTCATTGCACATACAGATCTACTTAAGTGTTTTTTTAAGCTGACATCAAGGAATAAAATGTTTTTTGGTACCACACTGTCTTGTAGATTGCACACTGCCAACAAAAAGAGTCCTTTTTTCATGTTTCTGCTCAAAATGTAAGAGAAGAGTCAACTGCTTGAAGTATGCGTCTTAGCCTGGTGCTACCCTGGCAGTAACTTCAAAGAAAATAGGTGACTGCTCACAGCTCACAGTTTTTACCTTCTGTTTTCCTTTTTAGGATGAAGAACTGGAATATAAGTGTAGCAAGTGTGAAGCTAAGGAAGCTGTTATTTCACACAACTTCATCAGGCTACCAAGGTCAGTTACCAAGGTTATCACACATAAGCTTCAACTATAACTTTGGTCATACAGACTCAAAGTCTGGAAACTTTAAAGTTGAGATAAAAGGCCATTTTACTGCAACAGAGAGAAAGGAGGCTGGAGTTGACCTTGTTTTGATACAGCCCTTCCTGCTTTCTTATGTAAATCTTGTTGTTGTTATACTAGCTACTATTAATTTTTTCAACATTAATTTTCATAAGAAAACAAAGGAAGTTTGTATCAAAACATGGTTTACCTCAGCTTCTCATTCACTCGAAGGCTAGGGTACTAAACCTACAATTGTAAAAATGTGACCCTATTTGGGAAAAGGGGGATTAAGGTGAATTTAGAAAACAACGTTCTAACGCGTTTAATCGGCTTCGTCGAAAAGCGTGGAAACGCATTTTGTATGCGTTTAAACAGATTTTTAATGCGTTTAAACAACCGGCTCTGTTGCACTTCAATATTGCATTTCGTATGATGGAAAGTAAGCTAATTTAGTTGTATTTGCATGAATAAATTACCAGTGTTTTATTATATGAAATGCGAAGATTAGGGTGCATGTCTTCCAACTCACTGTGTCAAAATGATCAATTCACCAGCAACTTACCTTTTGCCTTTCCTTTCTACATAGCAGACGGCTAAAAAATTGCATTGCAGTAATCATCACATTCCGTCTATAATATCGTTTTTTCTGTGAGCGCCTCATGTACACCGACTTTAGCCCACTTGCAGTGCAAGAATGTCGTGCTATCAACGGGAGCAACCAAACAATTAGCACACGCAGGAAAGAAGATGCGCTTTTCGAGTCTTCCTAAGAATGGAGCAAGCAGTCGAATTTGAGCCTACGGATTCCGTAGTTTTCATGTTGAATACAATAGCCAACAATACTGCTCAAAGAAACGCAAACTACCTAACGACGCTTCAAAATGTTTCTATCGGCATATCGGGCTTCATCAACAGGCTGGTCAATCCTTTTTCTCAAGCTTGTTTTAATCTTTTTATGCTCTTTAAAACCTTCACATTCGACTCCTTCGTTTTTCCTCTTCGGAATTTTTGGCGACAAAAGCACGTCGCCAGAAGCGAAGCAGGATCGAAGAAATAATGGCGCAAGCCTTCGTCATGTATTTTCGCATTCAGGGTCACTGGTCACGATGTCGTGACGCTCGCCCCGTAACAACAGAAAATATCAGCTTTTCGCCCGCTTTTATAACGAGAAAACTTTGACTGTACCTCTAAGGAATGTGAGACAGCTTGTGCGCAGGGAAGATCACTTATTGAATAAACCTCCAAATTCTATGTGTTATGAATCAAGGTTTCAATAAATTTCATTCCGTGACTGGCAAGTGTGGGAATGTTATCGCTAATTCCCTTGAGACATCCTAGGCTGTAATCTAATTGGTCGGCAGCTTTGCAGGAGATCCCATTACATATCTAGGCAAACATTTGCCACCGTTGAATGAAGGGCGCAAACATTCATACATTGTAAGTTTTTTGCATCTAGTTCTGTTTCGAGATGGAAGTTCTGTTGATGTTTTTGGATGGAACAGCTCAAAGGTATTTGTAAACAACGGCACTGTACAGTGAATTCTACGCTATAAAGTACCGACGAATCGAACCAAAGCAAGCAACACAGATACAAGAATCTTAGCTGGGGTACGCATGCACTTACAAGATTAAAACGTTCACGATAATGTACGTTCCTTAGTCCATTGTAAAATTTAACGACGACCAAAGTAAAATTGGGTTGAATTCGTTCATGAAAAAAGTGTAGCAGATCGTGGATCATGGAAAAAACGTCAAGGTGAGCGATGTCAGGCTTACGCTGTTGCAAATTGCAGCGAATCAAAAATCATTTGGTTTGTGTCCGTGCAAACGTTATGTAGCACAATCGCTCTTATTCTCTTTATTTTTAAAAAAGATAAACTTCATTGTCTGCATGTTAATGCATGTTCTTACATTTAGATGAGTGACCGTGATTGCTGAATATTTACAAAGCGAGACTGTCGCAGATTTGTTATGTCACGTGCTTTTGTAACGTGTACGCGTGGATTAAAAGTATCAGTTGCATTTTGACTTTCTTGTGGTTTTTACACCGTTACTGTACTAAGGCCTTGTCAACTCCTCTACCATGTCTCATGATTATTGCATTATTGAAGTCTGCAATTCGTTTTTTTTTGTACTGACGAGTGGTAGGCCATTACCGGTAACAACATTTTATCTTTTCGAAGCCACTTTGCAGCCCAGATCGTGATTCGGGAATTTTCTGCACCGCTGCTACAGCGCTGTTTATCGCTCCATCATGTAATATTCATTCGTACATTCCTCACTGCAGCTGAAGTTTATGCTCATGATTTACGTACTGAGTCACCGAGTATTTAGTGTTTGTTTTCTTCCTCGAAGAACTCCGCCATATTTGGTTGGACTTTCGATCCCGCATTTCCTCTCCGTTCCGAGTCCTTGAATGAAGTTTTCGATGGTTTTTCGAGCTGCATTGCTTCAAATAAATCAGAGTAACCCCGGATGACACCCAATAATGAAGCAAGTGTCCATGTAATTATGCGCTCATTTGAGGTAAATTAACAGCGTTTAAACGCGTCGTTTGTATAAAGCTCTTTCGACATAAAAATCTTTCGCACGCGTGTTTTGTGTGTTTAAACGTTGTTTAAATACGTTTAAACGGTGTTTTAACACGTTTACGTTTAAAACGATAGAAAACACGTTTTTTTGTTATTCACCTTAATCCCCCTTTTCCTAAATAAGGTCACAAATGGTTTATGGAAAGTAGTGAACTTATGCAAAAGAACAGTGAAGGAACGAAGGCACCAAACCTTGTGTGACAAGCGTAACAATAATTATGAAAAAAAAAATTACCATCTTTCATTCTTTCACTAACAATAATAATATTGTTTGAAAAAGCTTTCTGCCAAACGTCACTGTCCTGGGAACAGATCGTTTTCTACCAGAACACAGTATTGGTTTAAGAGGATCATGACAAAACTCGCCAGACAGTAACAGCCCTGTCACATTTGTCACACAAACATTTTGCCATGTTTTTCTTTCAGCCATCCTGTTGCATAAGCTCACTCTTATTATTCATTCAAAATAAATTATTTCTCTGTTTTTGATTGGCTCACATCTCTCAGCTTATTATATATAACCAGCTATAACCAGCCAGCATTAACCAAATTGAGAAGACATTTGTGTTATGTGGAAAATTTCGTCAATAGTACAGGGTAATGGCCAGAAAAATTAGAGAGCTTTAGATTTATTTAGTTAAATCTCGTACTCATAGTTGTCCTCATCGCCAAATCTAAAGCTCTCTGTTAATGCACTCAACCAAGAAGCCATGGGGAAGAGGTAGAGAGGAGGCATTGTTTTGGTAGAACTGTACAAAACCCTACCCTACCCTAGCTAATCTTATGTAGCTATCCAACTCTACCTTGCTTTACCCTGCCTAACATAGTACTCTATTTTACCTTACTTACCCTACTTTACTCTACTCTTTCCTACCTTCCCTACCCCAATCTCCACTGCCTTGGGCTTACCATGTGTGTACCCCACCCAGGTATAACCTGCTCATGACTGCTCTGCTCTACTCTACCCCAGCTGTACCTTAGGCTCAGTTTAGATGTCACTCCACTCCTGTGCCAAACCCAAACTGATGAATTAAGTACGGCATCTGAATCAATTTGGTACGACAGTTTTCGTTTGGTGCGGCAAAAGGGCTAAGTTTGACAGAGTCTGTGGAACTTTTGTCAAACTTAAGTTGGGCTTGACACACGGTGCGCCTTCTGAATCAGATGTGGCACCAGTGACGCTCCAAAGTCAAACTTATTCAATTAGGTTTGGCACATGACAAGTACGGCGTCTGAACCAGGCCTTATTCTATCTTAACTCCAATCAGTGGTGTTGTTTCTACAGTATTATTCTGAATTGTTTAATTGATAGTTATTGTTCACAATGTTCTTTCAGGCTTCTTGTCCTTCACTTGAAACGTTATGAATATGACAACTTAACAGAAGAACAAGCTAAGAAACAGGACAAGGTCAACATTGAAAGGTTCATTGACTTGAGTAAGTGTCAGGGTTACGTGTTAGAAGTCAATCAAGTTTTACACATCTTATAGAGAGTATAAAGCTGAACTTTTATTGGGGGGGTGGGGGTGGGGGTTGGGGATGGGGTGAGAAACCTTAGTGAGCCCATGGGTACCTACCATTTACATGGGAAAACCAGAAATTCCGGTTGGAAAATCAAATGGTTTGCGTCATTTTGTTTGGGAACCTTCAGAAAACATGGGCTGTGATTTGAGGCAATGCAATTTTTCTTCTCTTTTTGGTCTGTTCAGCACATTTGGATATACTTTGTATTGTATCGTTTTCCCACCGCGTCAATTTTACAGTTTTATGTTTATGCAGAAGATTTCTATCCGGGTGGTTTGTGTAGATGTTAAACACCCCATATTTATGTGCATTGCCAGTTAACTGCATGTTGTTTGTCTTCATTTGTTAGGTATGCTGTGTTCTTCAAAAACCAAACCTCCTCTTGATTTCTGCCCCAAATCATTACTTCAAATGTAAGCTTTTTGTATCTTCTGCTCCATAATAAATTTTTACCTCAGTGATATGATAGTGGAACGTTTTTCTGGAGACTGATTAAGTTTTAACACTTTTCATGCACTTAAAAATAGGCCAGTTTATTTTGCTGATACAGGAGTAGTGCTAGACAGGCGGCAGAAAACCTAAACTGCATGTTCATTGAGTCCTTTAAAAAGTCTGAATTATTTCAGCCAAGAAAATCAGAGGAAAAGCTGTTAAATCTAGCCATCAAATTATTTAACAGTCACTTATTCAGCATTAGGTATTTTGATAGATGTATATGACAAAAATCATATAATAACTGTGGAACTGAAATCAAAATGAAGAGTGATCCTCGCAATTGTGAACGCAATTTATGCAACTGCATAAGAAGCCTGAAAAGTTCAGGTTTTCAGCAGGGTTTGACTCATGACCTCGCAATACCGGTGCCCGTCTTATAGAAATGTCTGTAAAGAAAGAGTTGGCTGTACCTTCATTTCTCAGTTCTCTTAAGACTTTGTGTATTGGTACGGCATAGGGGAGCGAAGGTAAGAACTTCTGCTCTGCAGTCAAGCAGCTGCGCTCTACCAACTTTGGTTATGGTAAGGTTAAGAATCCTGTTTTCTGCCACTACAGCTCTCCCTTAGGTGTATTTGGAATTTCCCCTCATCCATTTATTTGTTTTTTGTATACATGTACTTGTTAGAAGTGACCTCATACCTTATAGTAATTGTCTGTGGGCTTCCTGTGCTAAGTTCTTAAATCGAAGTAAACGTTCCTGGATGTTTCCCCAGTTTTGAGAGGAAAGCATGGCGTGTTGACTTGTGTTTATCTCTTTGTTGAATCCGAATATTTTTTCCTCCATCGTGAGTACCTAAGAGAATCCAATAGTACTAATGTGATGTAATATTATATGCAGGAGTCCTCCTAAATCAAAACAGAAACCTCAGAAGCGACACTACATCAGTGAAGATGATGATGATAGCAATGACTTTCAACCTTCTCCTTCAGTCAGAAGAAAATTAGATCACTCATTCCGGAATAGCTCAGCTACAAGGTACTAACAGTAAGCTATGAAAAAGAAGGTCCACTTTATATTTGAATATTGTAATCTGCATTTGGCCCCAGGTTTACCAAATTAAGGGAAAAAAGAAATTTCCTAATTCCAATTCTTTGACATCATACTTTGAGAACTGATATACTTTCCTTTTAAAACCACAGAGGAAACTGATATTGCTCCAAAATGCCTCAGGGCCATACTCCATCACCTCTTAAAACTTGTATAATGCAACTGGCTCCTAGAAACCTCTTTTTCATTGTCCTTTGAAAACAAAGCTGCATGCCATTGTTTATAGGGAGAGGGACATTGTTTGAGTCTTTTATGACTTGGTTTTCATACAGATATTCCTTTAAAGTAATATGAAATAAGGTCTGGCAAATGTATCTGGATTTAGATAGACAGGGGCACCCAATGACGGTTTCCTCCCAAATGCATTGAAAACACTTTTTAGGTTATCCAGAGTACTTTTAGGCCTCTAGAAATGCATTCTAAGCAGGGCTCTAAATATAATTTGTATCTATTCAGTCATCCCAGGGGAACTTGAGTCTTTTCGAAATTACAAGGGCTTCAGTATTATTTTCCCGAAAATTTAAAATGCAATTTAGCCCACTACAAAAGTGAAAAGTTTTTGGTGTCTCTCCTTCTCATTTTTGAATGCGAAAATTTTACCTTTCCTTTTTCCTTGGAAAAGATAGCCTAACCTGGGGTGTGAAATGTGAAAAATCAAACTTAAGAAAATCGTAGGGAATTTATTAGATAAGCTTCGAAAATTGTACATGAATTGAACAGTCATCTAGAAATTTTTAGCCGCCCTAAAATAATAGAAAATTCTAAGCAATATTTGCTTCTCTCGAAAGTTTTTACAGAGAACAGTCGTAAGGTACCCCTGAATAGAGAGGTTTTTGTTTTACGAAGTCACAGTTAACTTACTCACCTGTGTACCGTTTGCTTTTTAGCCCATTCAAGATGTCTTCACGGAGTAAGACTGTAGAGGCAAGTTCTAAAAGTGGCCAAGACGCCATGGGCTCTTTTGAACCCCATTTGATAGATAATTCTGATTCTGACGACAAAGAAAATAACGTTGATAGTCACATTTCTGCAAGCAACAGCCCTGTTTGGAGAGGAACAGAGGAGGAGCAGATGGAATGGGCAATTGCAGAAAGTACTAAATCAACCGAAAAGGCAGCTGGGTCAAGTACCCAGCAAGTTTCTTACACAGGAAAACTTGCATCAGCTAAATCTCTATCCACAAGTGATTTTGTATTAGATGCAAATGTGGTTGGCAGTGAGACGGATGCTGTGTTAACAGAAACCAGAGTTAAAGACTTAACAAACGATACAGCTAGTGTTGGTTTGTGTGAAGACCCAGTGTGGGCCAGATCCGAAGAAGAACAAGTAAAGTGGGCTTTAAAAGAAAGTGCCAAGTCAGCGAAAAAAGCATACAACGCTGGGTCAATAATACAACACGAAAGTGGGAATGATATTCAACCAGCACCTGTGGATTTTGATGATGGTGATTTTGTATTTATAAGTGATGTTTCTGATGATGATCTCATATATGCTGCACCAGAAAGGAGAACAGGTGAACCAGTAGGGTTAAAAGGTGGGGGTCCTGTTACAAAAGAGACTTGTTTAGATGAATTTGTTGCCAGTGACGTGGATGGCTTCAGCATGGGAAGTGATGATGTCAGAACAAATGACGAAAACTGCAGTGACAATCCCGGTGTGGAAGTGAGCTCAAAGAAGCCAGTCATCCTTAAGAACACTCCCATCAAAAATTTCAACAAATACAAGAAAAGGAATGTTCATTACAAACAAAAGACACGTACAGACAATGATTTTTTGAACACAACACCAACCCTTGGAAAGTTTGATGGTAATCTTTTTGATGATGTTCCACAGCAACCTAAGTCACCTTATAACAATGAAAGCCCTCGTAGTAGCAATAAGAGTAGCTGGTGTCCCAGGTCAGCTACAAAGTTAACCCCCCTTAGTAGCAACAGGAGCAGCTGGAATCCCAGCTCACCTGCAAAGTTAAGCCCTTTTAGGAGCAATAGTAGTAGCTGGTATTCCAGATCAGCAGCAAAGTTCAGAGATGAAGACATGGAGAAGGCAATTAACATGAGTCTGCAAGACCAGGTGGGAACCGTCTTTGTTTGCTTCATTCTTGTGTTTAGCGCTGTGTTCTAGCAGTGCCTGGTAATGAGCCCTACTAGCTCTGGCAACATCAAACCCCCTCACCAATAGATAAGTGTGGGGCGGTGCCTGGTCAAACTGAGGGAGGTGCAAGCAAGCAAAGAAGGTAACCATGACAACCCTGCAAGCAGCATTCACCAGGCACTGTCACACTGAGAACCTCGGTGGAGAGTTTTGTAGATACTTACCAAGAGACAACCAGAGGGAAGGGAGGGCTGGGAGCAAAAACAGCTAAAGTCTTCCATCATACAGTGCATGTCCTGTAAGGCATGCTATCACATTTCAGCATTTTTGTTTGGATTGGCAAAAACGACCTGAATACGCTGTGTCCACATGTAATTTTTCAAATATGGAGAAAAAATTCTTTGTCTTTAAAAATGTTGGGATGTGTACAAGACTTTTAAAATTTCACCTTCTTGTAGTAAGAAAGGATGCCTGTTTGTGTGGCCTGGATAGATAAGAGCTCTATCCCTCAGGTGCAGGGTTCTTTGCATGGTGAACCCTGAACTATGCACCCGGGGGGGGGGGGAAGAGGGGGTACTCCCCTATAAAAGTGACAGGGTGCTTGTCGGACATTTTCAAGAACACCCTTAAAAGGTACCAGAATCTTGTTTTATGGGCGTGTCTCAAATTCATTTCCACCCCTAAGAGGTACCAATTCAATAACAACAAATTATATACCTGGCACTGCAAATTTTAATAGCAATAAAGATAACTTTCGAACCCTTTCTTCTCAAGGACTTTTTGAAAGTATTGCCATAAATCTTTATCCCAATAAAGCGTATCATCTCTGGCAGCGGTCATTTTAGGTTTTAGCACCCTAAGCAGTACCAGTCCACAAATTTGAACCCCTAAAAGGTACGTCTAGCAGCCCCGTTACTTCTATAGGAGAGTACCGCCCCCCTCCCCCCACCCGGAACCATGCAGGTAAGGGTCCGGTGGAAAGGTTATAGTGAACCAGTCGGTGCTTTCAGATAAAACAAGCATAAGCATAAGAAGCTCATGCACTAGTGAGGACAGCCATGATATCACAGGCAGCCCAAGCGCACTATGTGTGGGTCCGGGCTTCAGAGGTCACTCTGTGTCCTACGGCCGGCTTAAACGCCGTTTAGTCGACTTTCTTTCCATCGAGTACTGAACGCTATGAAAGATGGAAAGTACTCGATGGAAATAAAGTCGACCGAACGGCGTTTAAACCGGCCGTAGGACACAGGGTGGCTATGAACTAAACGTAAGGGAGCTTTTTGAATCAATGTTTCGCGCGATCATGATTTTTCTCTTAGCGTCGTAGATTCGAATACATGTAATAAAATTCGAACAATAAGGGCCCGAATCACATGTAATAATGCAAGAAATATCGACCTTCGTTCTCTTAAAGGCTACTAGTACAGATAGACAAACAAAAAGACTTCATATCTTTAAGATTTTTGCATTTTTTTGGCACCAGATAATGCACTAATAATTCTAGTATACTCCGACCAAATGACCTTTAAAGCCCGAACCCACACGTAGTGCGTTTGGGCTGCCTGTGATGATATAAGCTTAAGTATAAGAAGAATGCAAGGTTTTGATACACTTGTGTTTATCCCTATGCTTACATCAAGGCTGTCCTTACCCATGCATAAGTTGCTTATGCTCATGCTTATTGCATATGCTTGCGTCGCTAATGTGAACCAGGCCAAAAATGCCTATTGGTTAAAATTTGTTTAAAATTAAGTTTTCGAAACTCCCAACATTTGCTAATCTTTCATTTTTTTGTAACTTATTCAAAACCACAGCGTGTGTTGAGTGAAGAAGATGAAGAACTGAATAGAGCTTTGCAGCTAAGCTTACAAGGTAGGGAGACACTTTGTACTTCAAAAGTTAAGTTTACTTTATTTAAAAAAAAAAAAACAAACAAAAGTAAATTTCTTTATTGTGGAAGTACACTAAGCTGGTCTAGCTACATGTACTCACTCAAAGTTCTATATGGCGAGACTGCCCAGAGGTCTAACCCCTTTCCATTTTATATACCATTTTGGACAGAAAATAAAATCTTTGGTATACTCTCCTTTGAAAAATGGCACCCCTTTGACATACCTACAGTCAAACCTCTTTAATACAGACACCAAAGGGACAGAACCAAGTGTCCGCTTTACAGAGGTGTCCGTATTATAGAGGTAGGGAATATATGGTTTTTGGCATTTCTGGGACCAAACGAACTGTCCGTAATGGAGAGGTGTCCGTAAGGAGAGGTTAGACTGTACTTTATAGGAGTACTTTACTAAAGTGGAATTTTTTTAGTCAGTGCTGTGTAATATTTAATAGATTTAAATCTTATAGCCATAATGCCTCCCCTTTGATATACTTCAATTCTGAAAAGGTACGGAGCCTTCCTGTACAAGCTATTATTGCGAGTTCCCCTTTCAGGTAGTTGATGGTATTACAGTTACAATAGAGCTCTTCATAACCTGTTGGTCTAGATGGACCTGTTTTTCTAGATGGGTTCACTGAAAATGCTCTGTGAAAGGGATAAAATCCTGCCCGCTCCTACATAATTCAAGTGGCGTGATAGGTCCTTTTAAGTCAGCAGCTGTTAATTTATTTATTTACATTAGTGGCTGATTGATTGATTGATTGATTTTTGAAGAATTTGAAGAAAAGTGTCCTCCAGAAGATCAATTAGCTTCTCCAAGAAGCCTGAATGTCGCAGAAACTGAGAACTTGTCATGTTATTCTACTATTCAGGTATTTATTAAAGTACTATTATTACTATAGGGTCGCTTACCATATTCAGTGACTAGTTAAGTCAACTTCAACTTAATAAACATAATCAAGTAGCATAACGGTAATAGAGGAGAGAATTTATGAATTAGGGTGTTGGTTAGCATACCGTGTGGCACGAAATTTTTGCGGGAGTCTTTGTTTGCGGATTGGCGATTTTTTGCGTTTTGCGGGAACTAATTTTTGCGATTAGGACAAATTGGTTTTTCTTAATTTTTGCGATTTTCTGAAAGTACCCAGTACCAAGCACTGGTAATATTTTCGTTGTTGTTAAGTACGTGCAATAAAAATACATTTTTTAAAAAACAATACTGCGGTATGGGTATTCTATTTAAAACCAGTAATTCATTGTGTACCGTTTTGTTTCTGAATGAAAGAGGCAATTTGTAACTGAAGAGACACGATTTCTTCGTACTGTATTTTTGTGTAGCGAATTTAAGTTAGAGAATATTTACTCTGGAGTAATTTTTGCGGGAAAATGTTTGCGGTAATTTTCGTATCATACGGTATCTAGAAAGAGCAAGATCAAAAATGTTTACTCGCTAAAATTCAGCCTGTTGGTACAAATTGATGGGTAGATAAAAACACTGTTATGCTCTGATGACTCCATAGAAATCCTTCTAAGATAAGTCATTTCGCCTCTCTCACTTTTTACTGGCTTCAAAAGGGGAAAATGAAGCTTTCCCTTCGCCATCCTCTCCGGTCTCCACACATTGTTCTACCGCTGTTTGAGCTACTTGTAGGAAACAGCAAACACTCCAACTTTGAATGGAGGAAAGGGGGAGGGTGGTGGATTGATTCCGGAAATTATCCCATTTGAGGACAGTGACTCAACAATTTTGTGGCCAATTGTATTTATTAGGCACTCTTCTAAAATAATAAGAAACGACTTAACATATAATCTGAAGGGAAATCGACAGGATTAAAAATCTCAACTTGCCAACCACAATGTAAAATTTTACTATGCTAAGTTTTGAAAATGTTAGAAAAGTCGGGCGATCCCGCACCTATTTGAAAGATTGTTTTTGATTAGCTGGGAAAACAATAGGGATTGTCATATAACAATGCCCCTATCCCTGAAAACAATGGAAGTGCAGATTAAAGGGGACCAGAGAAATAACAGGTTTAGACCGGTGCAGGTCTACTGTAAAAGTCCCCTGCTTGGGTGTTTATCGTAGAAAGACGACTAAGATGTTATACCACCTTTCTGATATTTCGATGTCACAAAGACATTTCAATAAAATTGTTGTGGTTTTTCTCTTGTGAATTGTAGGATGACGAAAGTGAACTTTCAACACATTCCTATCGACTTATTAGTATTGTGAGCCATCTTGGTACAAGTTCTACTTCAGGTTAGTCAGTCCAACCTTTTCATTCCATCCACTGTTGAGTTTTGTTCAGTTGCTTTCATTTGAGTGGCAAAACTTTAAGATTTCATTTATGGAGTCAACCCTTTAAAAAAACCTTGCAAATAATAATAAACAGTCCTACGGTACTGCTCAGTAACTTTCATTTTGTATGGTCACACTTTAGGATTTCATCCACAGACTCAAAAGTTAGAACCACTTTGTACAGCATAATAAACAGTACCACAGGAAAGTACTGCTCAGTAGCTTTCATTTGAATGGTCACGCGTTAGGATTTCATCTACAGACTCAAAAGTTAGAACCACCTTGTACAACATTATAAACAGTACCACAGGAAAGTACTGCTCAGTAGCTTTCATTTGAGTGCTCACACTTTAGGATTTCATCCACCGACTCAAAAGGTAGAACCACCTTGTAAATACCAAGGGCTTAAAATTTTCAATTTAGTACAGGTTAATGTCCTAAAACGTTAAGTCCCATTCCGTATCGAATTAAAAGATTACAAGGTCGTATTGAGGTGTCAATTTGAAAACTGATAGCTCTGTTGTCAACTATGTATTTCCTTTTTTGATCCAGGGCACTATATCTCAGATGTATATGATTGCAAAACTAAGCATTGGACTAGTTATGATGATTCTACTGCCACAAAGGTAAGGGTACGGAACGCACCAATCACATTCAGAGTCTTCAAAACCAATAGCATCTTGGCCTTACTGACCGATGGCCAAAAAGTCCACAGGTAACCCAAGCTCATAACAAATATTCCATTTTGTGAGCAGAATGTGCATTAAATTACGCTTTGAAGCGTACCGGTAACATTTTCTCGTAGTTATTTGTTTGCTGAATGTGTTTTAGTCCTCTTTGTCTCGTTGAAATGCCGAAAGCCCGTGAGCAACACTGACCCTACTTAGCTAGCAATTATTCATACGGCAAAAACAGTAGGAATTGAGCTTGGGCTACCTGTGTAACATCGCGACCTAATTGACCAATCAGGTCAATAACCAGAGTTTAATACCATCAACTGACGTGATACAACTCACTTTGACTCTTAAGGATGACTACCACACAGGTTGTGGAAACATCAGTCTATGCGGGACTACACTCGCCCAGACGATGATATTCCAGTTTGGGGGGGGGTCCGGAGGCTCGGACCTCCCCCCCCCCCCTACCTGGCGCTAGTTTGAGACTGAAATTCTTGCATCGACAGAATCGTATATCACTTTTGAACTGGCTGATTTTTTTTTTAATGAAACGTGCGTTGCATTTTGCCACTAAACTAAATTCCAAGGATAATCAAACATTTAATTGCTTTTGGGTACCCTCCTATGATCTGTTTGCCTCTGCTCGTAACGCAGTACATGGCAGGGGGCCAAGGAATTATAACGTGCAACCGCGACTGGTGGGAGGGGATGTGGGGTGAAGTAATTTGCCACAAAAAGTTCAACAGCCCTTTCCGAACCAAAGTTTGCCCCCCACTCCCCCAATCAAAACTTCCCGTGGATCCGCCCCTGCAAAATCATCTGTAGAGCCCTTCTACTAAATGTTTCGAATGTTGTTGCACCTGTCAATGTGTTTTCATGTCTACAGGTTGCGGAGCATGGTGTTCGTTACAAAAGGCAGCAAAGTGGCTACATCTTTTTTTATTTGTACAAGTAAGTAGACTTGCTTGTCATCCAAGTCTCGTAAACCCTCGGTTACTTCTCGTGTCTGAGCCTGGTTCCATGGTTCTCTTTTAATTGACCTTTTTACCGATACGGCGGCGTCGTTAAGTTATATTTAAGGAGTATTATAGGATACCCGGGGGGTGGGGGGGCATGAACACATTACATTTCTTAAAGTTATAAATGAGATTGTAATCTGAAAAAAGATCGTTGTGCCGTGTTAGGATGTAATAATGATCGCCTTTTTCCCGAGAAATATACAGGGAAAGACCATATTTGTAATACTAAACGAGTACAACGGATCCTGCTCATGCCCCACGGGGCATCCCGTAATACTCCCTTAATCGAATTAATTCAATATGGCCGCCGTATCGGTAAAAAGGTCTATTGCGCACTTCTTGAGTACCTAAAGGTGTATCCCATTCGTTCTCACCCTCAGCTCCTATCCTGTCTCTTGGCTGCTCTTAAAGTGAGGATTTTTTTTTATATCACTATTCTTATGTGATCTTACAATGGGGTATAGAAAGGTATTATCGAGATTTGACCGAAATACAGTGCGCAATTCGGGCAGACGACAAATTTTTTGACGGGATGTGGAATTTTGTAAACTTGAAAACTGTGAAATGGTTGATCCTTGTATACCTTTGGATTAGTTGCCATGGATAACTGATGATTTTTTTTTTTTGAAGTTAAAAATCATCGTCTTTCCTAACAACGTCGTTATCATTATTACTATGTATCTCCTTTGGGAAAACAATTAGGCTCGTGTTACTTAAAGATTGTAGCATTTTAAAGTGACAAGATTTATGTTGTTTAGGATTTTGCCGAATGGTTCAATTAATGCCATGTTTGTTTGTTTTTTTTTTTTTTCCAGACAATGTGTAGATGCCATAGAAAATTCAGCTTCAGTCAAGGAGAAAAAATGAAGAAGAGATGAGTTTATTTTTGTAAAGAGACTTTATGAACGATGTCACGTTCATCAAGATTGTTGAAAATTCCCGGACACACTTCTGTCTTTTCTGCTCAAGACCTTCAAACGTTGTTAAAAGTGTAGCGTGATGTTTTTGAGTCACGTTTCATCAAAGTGTATATTTCGATTCCTTATAGTAGTTGTTATTAATTATCACCAGGAGTATTTTTATATGAGATGGACAATTGGTTATTTAATTACTGGTATAAGGAAAAATCAAATTGAATGCCTTCTGTAACAGACATCACCAATTACTGTGAAACTTTATAGAAACCATTCCTTGCAATTTTTGTTCTTTGTCACTTGACGTCTGCGAAAAGGCTTTCCCATCGTCCCTAGCGCGCCTTTTTCCCTCTCCCCAGTTGCACAACAGAAGGTGGTTGGAAGAGAGGCAGACTCGTACCCATTCCTCTCTCATTTACTATTCTCTATTGGTGATGACATCTGGGAAGATGCCAATAAAATTCGCCGTTTTCTTTCTTCCTTCTCATATGCAACCTTCACTCAATAAACACTTCCCATCAATCAGAGCGCGAACAAGAGAAGAGACTGGGTACAATTCAAGGAGAGATGGGGAGAGTCCTGTTAGTTTCGTGTCATTTCAAGATAATTTTTACACAAAAGAGATTCGTAGCCAACAGGTGCTAGAACGCCGTTTTGTATACTTACCTTGCTTGAAATATTATTCAAGCTAAATGTAAATAGCAGTCATTCAAAAGAAGACCAGATTGAAAAGAAATTATAGGGTTTGAAATTGTACCCGTATAATTAAATAGATTATTCAAATATAATATTGTTATAATCTTGTGTGATCAATATTTGCATTCAAACCGATTTAGTTTACTTTAATCCTCTTGTAGTATATTTACCGTCCCTTATTTTTTCGTGAGATCGTCCAGCTCGAGCAGTTAATGTAATGGGCAGCCATTTTGTTTTCAAGAGTATAAGTGCATATGAAACCAAGATGGCCGCCCTTTTATGGTCGACGGAATATCGCTGCGTGCATAACATCGCAGGTAAATTACGCTACAATTTTTCCCCTTATTCACTGAAAATCGTTCTTCGTTTATGACTGGCTCAATCCCGTGGCTTATTCTTCATAACCAGCTAGCATTGACCAAGTTTGGAAGACGTTTTCCGGTTTGAGATATCCGATAAAATGACGTCAATAGTGAGGGCAAGGGAGGTTTCCTCCCCTTTTTTCCTCTCTAGTCTCCCCACGTTTTTTTTTTTTATCTCCGACAATTTTTCGCCCGCGCTCTACTATGTGAACGTTGAAGAAGCCAGTATCAAATTCAAATCCGCATTCCTGCAAGCAGAATGAACTGTGAATTTGTGACTTTTTACTGACTGCATTTTCTCAGTATTAGGCGTCATTAAAAAATCTTTGAAGGGCTAAAACTGCTTTGAGAACAGATATGTCAAATTCAATTAAACTAAGCCGGCAGAAATTTCATGACTACCTCGCGCTTGAACTCACTGCTTATTACGCCTTCGGGAATGCAGAATGAGATAGAAGCCGGAAATCTACAAGTACTAACGAATGCAACTTTCGAATAATATAAAATTTATGGAATCTTGGGTTACGCCTGTACCTGGCTTGACTGTAAAAGAGTTTTGTTGCATACAGGGTCGGGAAATCGGGCATTCCCGCTCTTTTTTCTCGAGAATCCCGCATCCCAAGTGTTGTAGCTATCCCGCATTTCGTTTTCTTTCCCAACCACGCATCCGTGTTCAAATTTGGCGATTCCCACTTCCCAGACAGTAGTTCAAGCTCGTATCCCGTCAACGTTTCCCGAATCCCACACCGTATTTTGGCCGTACCCCGTACCCGGAAATACATTTCCAGACTGAACAAAAAAATATATATCAAACGAGAATCAAGGCAAGAACATTATGATTGGTAATATTTTAGGGAAAACAAGAGATAATGATTTCGATGTTAGTAGTAACAATCCCAGAAATCCGAAAATAGTTGGGTCAAAGGGAAAATATATCGTTTATAATTTGCGTAAGAGCAAGACAGATCAATAAATGATTTTAATGATGTTTTAGAGCGCTTTCAAACTAATTCATGACAATGCAAAGGCGTGTGACATGATATGAGCAAGACTAAAAAAGTTCTCCAATATTTGCGTATGACCATTTATGAAATGAGAATTATGAATTTGCCTGAAAATGGAAAATTGCTCTATAAGTTTGTACAATAAAATATGAACAGAAAATTGTGTTAGGTGAGAATATTAGGACACGCTGTCAAAGTCATTCAGACAATTACACCTTTTGCTGTTCATTAATAGAAAATACGCATTCATTTTCGTCAAACGGTAGAACCATCACTAAACATCAATTCTAGGGTTGTTTTTCTCGTACGCCAAAAATAGAGAAAATAGAGAAAGTTTTGTGCCAAAATCATTTTGAACTATTACACCTTTTGCTGTTCTTTACGAGAAAATCATACGCAATCATTTGCGCCAAGATACATTCATCAGCTCGAAAAAACGAACTTTTGTGCATAAACCATATTCAATAACGATTTTTGAATGCAAAAATTGTCATTGAATCTGATTTACGCGCAAATGTTCATTTTTTCGCGCTAATAAATTATTATAAACTTTCTTCGCGAGGCGCTTCGCGCCTCGCTTAGCTTGGGATTAAACAAAAGAAGCAAGGTTGATTTTACAGTCGGGAACATATATGTATTTTACCAATATTTCGGAAGGTACGGCCTTCCTTTTTTCAGGATCTTACATACAATGATAAGGTTAAGCTACGTTACAGTTTGAAATAAAGAATAGAGTGTAGTAATTCGATACTATACTGAATAACACGTATTTAAATAAAAAAAGTATATGAAAACAAAAACTGTTGAAGTAGTGATATGAAAGAAATTTGAAATGTAAAAATAGTATAAATAAATGATTACAAATGGCAGAAATAAGGAATGTATTACATTTCATATTTCTTATTGACACCTGAATGGTTCGAGAGTTTTGTCTCTAGTCTCGATGAGGTATGCGTCTCTAGCTTTTCCTACACTGTCTCTATTAAATTCTAATGGAATGAAGTTTGGTGTCTTTGGCAGAGTGATCATTACAGTAGTGAGAAAGTGTTCTGAGACTGTGGTGGGTTTGGAGATGTTAGATAATGAGTGATAGGTCTGGTTCCACCTGGAGAGTGGAATGTGTATGAAGTTTGTCCGTCAGATATATATGTATTTGCAAGTAAGACAGTTTTTTCCGCATGGGTATGAGCCCCAGGGCTGGTTGTGCTGTGGGAGAGATGGCATAAATAGCACATTCTATGGAACCAACCCAATTTTTGGTGAAAACGATCAATGATCAATGATCAAAACTAATCGACAAAAGATCCACAACGATCCAAAACAAGCCAAAACAAGTTCCGCCCTCTTAGGAACGTCGGGTAAAACTGATTTTAATATCTCAGTGCTTTAGGAACGAGGATAGCCTCCCATGCTAGTTAGTGGGGCAGGAACGCGTGACGAACCCCTAAGAACGTCGGCTTGGAAGGCTAGAGCGAACTGATGATCTGTATGGTTGGTAACAGGCGAAATCTGGGTTTGTTTTTTTACGGCTGTCTCAGCTCACTCCCATGGGTGTTGCATGCATTTTTCTATCTGTATAACAGATAACAGAGTTCGCAAAAATAGGAAAATAGAGTAAGTGAAAAATAGTCTTCAGGACAGTCTCACTCTCTAGCTCTTTACTAATCACAAACCAGAGATCCTCCATTCCCCATTATACCCCATTATATGGAGATTCGTATTAGATTAATCGTAGGACAAAACTATTAACATTGCGATGTCAGTGTTAGGCCGCTTTTTTTTTTTTGCGATGATGCGATGTTTGCTATTTTTTTCCTGCGGTTTTACGGTGTGGCAGGAGGGTGTGGACAGGGTGTGTGGACAGTGCCCCATTGTCGAGTCCTTCTCCACATATGTATTACTGGTTTTACTCAGTTGAAGTACTCGTCATTATTACAGGTTCAATTTACTATTTGTTCCATCCATAAATGGTTTGATTTCATGAACAAGACACTACAGTCAGGGGCACAAACATTTCCTTTTTCACGTTTACGAGTACTCGAAAAACGCGCAAAGCGAGCACTTTGAAAGCTCGCGCGCGAGGCTCACGCGCCAATTAAGACTGGGTTCCAAAAATAAACCAATATGGCGGCTTACTGGTCAACAAAACACGTGTGTGGAAATATTAGACCCAAAGTGACATTTTTAGACTTCAGCAACTCGGATTTGATCTCAGTCGGTTTTTTAACGTATTCATTAACACTTGGATTTATTCATTGCATAAAAATTCACGGATGTAGGATTGCAGAAGTAGTGAAAAATCCGGCACATGTCCTGTGAGGTAAGCTTATGTTTGTAGAAAGGCTTAACTTTAAGTTTAAGGGTGTTTCGCCGAAATTGTTCTTCTCATAAGCAATAAATATTTAGGTAATGGTATTAAAAGGATCAAGCCTATGTGTTAAATCATCAAGTAATTCTAGAAGAGCCCTTCCCCAAATTTTAACCGGGTCATCCTTGGTGTAAAAACCTGTGAAGTTTTTCTTTGTTTTGGAGCTATTATTTTCAAGTAGCTTTTTTGCATTTATTGTTTTTCGTCACTCGTGAGTTTCACAAGGTTTTACACCGAGTATGAACCTTTTAAGCATCCATTTAGTCTGGTACAAATTACAGTGAAAACGTCCCATCCTTTGTTCAGTCTGTTTACGGAGGTGTCCTTTGAACCGGTCAGTATAAAACACGGACTGGAGACTGCGGGTCATGGACTGTGGACTGGGTATAAAACTCTGACTTGGTAGAAAATGAGGACCAGAAACTACGGACTGAGTATAATACATGGACTCGGTATAAAACGCAGACTACAGACTGTGTATATAAAAACAGCTTTAGAAAGATAAAACTGAGAAAAAGGGATAGCAGACTAGCATAAAAAGCCCCTTGCATCACACACAAACATTCCTTTGGCTGGTCAAGCAGTCTTTTCTCCCCAACGTCAGCATCATGTGGAGAAGGAAAGAATACTGCGCAGGCAAGGAAGGTTAGGAGGGGATGCAGCCTGAAGCAACCTGCATTCCTTTTCTTAGTGAATATATTACACTGTAAGTGCATCAGGTCCACAAAGATCCACCTTCAATACAGCTTTATTTTGAACAAAATAAGATGTGATTTACTGCAGTAAGTTTTCTAATCTACATTATTACAGTATGAATATACATGTACTGTACATGTAAGTCAATACTTATCAATATTTTCTTTAAGCGATGGACTGCATTGTGTCACATAATTTTGGGAGTCTTGATGAAGAGGAATAACATGTTAACCTGAACGACAATATAATACAATCAAAAAACAAGACCAGCGAGAAAAGGCAACTCTGAAGACGAGGTAAGCAACTCTCCTAACCTTCTTACAGTAAGACATTGTGTACGTTAATAATAATACCACACATGTCATACCATAACATATTTAAATGATTAAATGCTGTCTTGGATTTAATGCTGCAGATACATAATATTTTATTATAGAAGCAAAATTATAACACTGGCCACTGGTTTCCCTGTGAAACTATGTCTGAGGAAAGA